GATATATTATATCGAGGGTATCTGCTAGATTTCAAATTCATGACCAATTCCAAGAACTTTTCATGACTTAACGAAGTTACTATTTTCTCCGCCAAAAATAGAATAATAAATGTAAAAAGCATTATAATAACATTCACTGAAATGATAGGTATAACCAAAACTGTTATACCCTGCATCTTCATATTTATAGATTTTAAATTTAAAAAACAGAGTAAAGAAAGAGTTGAAGCAATAAAATAGCTGAAAAAATACAAAAGCAAATAATTTTTTTTCTGCAGAATTATATTCTAAAGATACTTTCCTTGTTCATCAGAAAGGATAGAAATACTCCTGATTTTTCTGTTCTCATTTCAGAATAAAAAAAATTCGTCAATGACTGGTTTGCTTCAACTAGAATTTTAAATTGATAAAATTTAAAAAAATAATAAAAATTCTTAAATCACAGAAGAGTTTAAAAGATGATTCGCTCTAGAAATGATGTTCTTTCTTTCATTTTTTGAAAGAACACCATAATTTTTAGGGAACATGATAAAATCATTTTTTTATTCTAATAAAATATGCCTGAGTGGTGATTTTGTTACTAATTCAGATATTTGGAACAGGATAAAATTTGGGGGGGGGGGTATTCTATTCTAAAAATTAAGATTTTTGGGAGACCTAAATCTATGACTTTCCATGATTTTTTTAAAAAAATAGTAAAAATCAAGACATTTCATGACAAATTTTGTTCAATACTGAAATTCATGACTTTCCAGGTGCGCGGATACCCTGTATGATCAATGGGCCTAACTTTGTTTAAATTTTTAATTTATTTAGAGTAATTAAATTGTGAAGTTCCACAGATTGGAGAACAATAAATAGTAGAGCCCATAGAGTTTATTGTAATTATGAAATGTAAAAAAAATACTAAGACATAAAAATTGGCGTATTAAATAAAACTGGGGAGAAAAGAATGAGAAGTTCGTTCAGAAATAACTATGTTATAATTTTCGGGGATATGTGAGCGACAGCAAGCAAAAAACAGAGCCCTCTAGAAATTGTAAAAGAAAACATTAAGAACTTTTCGCCAATATAAATTATATCTGCATCCATTAAATTGGTAAAAGGCTCCTACGAAATCCCATTGATGTTATGAGAAAAGTAATAAATAATTCAACTGTGAATTATCAATAGTATTTTTAAAAAAAATTATTATTTCATCTGGTTATATGCTGGTTTTATTTTATTTATTGAATTATTATGTATATTTACAGGAAAAATTAAGCGTAATGTCACATTTACTATATTTGTATCTACTTACAGGGGTCTGTCCAGGTCAAATTTACTGCCGTTAACGGTACTTTCACAAATTCAATTTAAGGAAAAACGGCAGTTTCACAAAATATTTTTAACACATTTAAAAAAATATTTAATTAGTTTTGAAAATATTTTCTTATTTTACCATATTTTGCGTTGATTTTTTAATATAATTTTTAAATTTTACAAAGTCGGAATTTTCACAAAGCTTTAAAAAAAACCTAGACAGACCCCTGACATTATTACTGTCTATTTTTTAAATCCAGCAAATAAATATATTTAAAATAAGTTCAGCAAATTCTTTATTTGTAATCAATTCTTGATTAGTTTTTTATTAGTTAAAACTTTTAACTAATAAAACTATATTTTCATTTTATAGCATGATTCTCGTTCTACTTATTTTATTTCTATCCGGCATTCGACAAGACCAGGGTTGGCAAGTTTTTGACACATGACGGTTTTTACCGGTTATTACCATGGTTTTTATCGTCATGTCAAAAAACCCTCTGTCAAAAATGTCAAAAACCCATAGTTTTGGTAAAACTGTATTTTTATTTGAGTTTAACTGCTTATAATTTAAAATTAATAAATTTTTGGGCAATAAATTTAGAAAAAAAGTTGTTAAAAGATATTTAAGAATAGATTCTTGCATTTTCTCAACATGTTTATATCAAAACAAACTATTTGAAGTAAAATATTAGGATACTAAGCAAAATTTTCAACATTTCCAAGCATCATTTTGTTTGGCATATTACATTACTGAAGAATGTCAAGTCATTCTTGACTTAGAGTTTGTTAGTAGTTACAAGTTTTGAAAGTTTTGTTTAGCTTATTTCTAATATTTAAGAAATGCCAAATTTTAAATTCTTCTTTTTAGTTCTTGAATTTATTAATAGTTCCAAGCTTTTTTGTTTGTTTGTTTATTTCTAACAATTAAGAAGTGCAAAATTTTGAATCCTTTGCAAATCAAGCTATAATGATAAAAGTAAGTATCACTATTTTCAATAAGTATATTACAATATTTCTGTATGAATGTATATCCTTCTATAAGAATACATGTATATAGTTGCAAAATCAATAGCAATCATTTACAACATTCATTTATAAAGGCAATTATGTGAAAATAATATATTGTCCGCTATATGCCATAAATTTAAGAAAACAGTAGGTTTTTGAAAGTTTTTACCGGTAAAAACACGGTTTTTACCACTGTCATGTCAAAAACCAGTTTTTGACGGCAAAAACCCAACCCTGGACAAGACTTACTGATTACTAAATTATTTGTAACTCAAGTCAAGGTTCTATTTATCAAATGATTCATCAATTAAAGACTTAAGTATAGATAAAGCGCTCTTACGAGTGTTTCATCTGTCAGAGGGTTCATGAATGTTATGGCTCGACAGTGTGGCAATTGCTGATTGCTATGGCAATGTGGATAACATTCTGCACAGACAGCATTTACTCCTCAGATTAACTTGTACCCGTCAATCTGAAGTTGATTGGAGCACTGGAAATTGAACCCTAGTTCTTCACAACAGTTCAATATATTATCCATTGACTAATCGCAGCTAGAATAATTAAGTATGAAGTCCTTAAATAAGTAATACCAGGGGTCTTTTTTGGGTTTTTTAGAGGTACCTTATTTTGTGAAAATTTAGACATAATTTGCGAAAATTAAAAATTATATTAAAAAATTAACACAAAAATATGGTAAAAATATGAATTTATTGTTTATTACGGTATACAAAAATAAAATTTTTAGAAAAAGTATTCTACCGTTATAACCACTAAACGGTATTTATACCGTTTAGTGGTTATAACGGTATAAATACCGTTTAGTGGTGAAGATACCACTAAACGGTAGTAAATTTGGCCTAAACAGACCCCTGAATACATCACTGGAAAATCAACATATTGTGAAAATATTAGCGACAAAATATTTTGTTTTCATTAAAACTTAAGAATTACCGATTTATTAACAATTTGGTTAGATTCGAAATTTCACTCTGCAAAATGAAAATTCTCTTCCCTCTCAAAAATATAAGTTTGCGGCACCTCTAACCAAATATCTATTGAATTCTTATTGACAATCGCCAAGTCTTGGTCACTAAAAAAAAAACATTACAGAACATTTACATGTTTTTATTAAAAACATTTGCAAGTTCAAAATCAATTCAGCACCTTGGCGATTGTCATTTGCGCGACAGGTCATGATACGAAAATATTCCCCAATCACGTTTCAAACATTCTCACAAAATATAACAACAAAACAGGAAATTTGTTTTAAGATTCATAGAGTTTTCATACAATAAAAAAACTCCAATTAAAATTTATATTAGGATACATAAAAAGGAATAAACAATAGATATATGTAAATTAAATATGTAAACGTAGACTTTAAATCCACCAGAGAAAAATTTACCCTCATTTGGTGACTTTCAATATAATATATTTTTGAAGTATTTTGCTTTAAAACACCACATTTAATTGCCATTATCGTATCATCTTCTCGTCTTAAACCAGGTCCGAAAACAATTTTTTTATTAGTTTCAGCTGCACTCAAATCAAACAGTTTATCGCCCGGCATAACTACTTTTCCCAAAAAGTTCTCCATGTTGACCACAGTAAAAAATAAAAATGACAAGAAAAAATGGAAAACAAGTATAAAATTTGTTGCGCCTTGCAAAAACTCGTTTAAATCATTTATTCCACAGTGCGTTCGAATAAATAACCGTACTATAAGCATATGATACCTTATTTCACCTTAACACAAACAATCATATCTTTAAATTCAGTTTACGAACTAAAACGTTTAAGTTGAATACAAATGTACTAGCGTAGTTTTTATGTCATTAAAGCTCCACTATAAGCTGCTCTAAGGGTCCATCTTCACTGGAGGAAAACTTTTTCAAATGAAATCGCATACAAATTAGAAACTGACAAGTCTTTCTAGTTCGCAAGTTAACCTACTAGTTTACTCCATCCGATTCAGTAAATGCGAATTTTGCAATTGAAAACATTTCTCACGACTACGAAAGCCGGCGAAAAATTTACTATTTTGGTTCTTTTCTGTCGGTCTCTCTATGTCATTCACGCAATCGGAGTTGCGTGAATCACATGCATTGTAGAACGATAAGTTTTCAATAAAGAATTTTTCCTTCTTTACCACTAAAAATTTGCATATGAATTAGGCCTGATTTATGATTTTACTGAAAATGAACACATCTCACCAATGTGGTGTTTATTCGCATGATATTTTATCGTGCGCAAAAAAGTCGGTCGCAAAGGGACGATTCTCACTTTATGTGATTCGTGACCGCAAGTGGATGCGATTCATGCATGGTGTTTCCAAACAATCACACAATTGGTGATCCTAGAAATTGAAACATACCGCCCTTCGCGCAAGAAAATATTGCAGTACACAAGATATAATTCTATTTCTTACATCTGACTAAGGGNAAATTTAGTTTACGAACTAAAACGTTTAAGTTAAATACAAATGTACTAGCGTAGTTTTTATGTCATGAAAGCTCCACTATAAGCTGCTCTAAGGGTCCATCTTCACTGGAGGAAAACCTTTTCGAATATACAATGAAATCGCATACAGATTAGAAACTGACAAGTCTTTCTAGTTCGCAAGTTAACCTACCAGTTTACTGCATCCGATTCAGTAAATGCGAATTTCGCAATTGGAAACATTTCACACGACTACGAAAGCCGGCGAAAAATTTACTATTTTGGTTCTTTTCTGAATCACATGCATTGTAGAACGATAAATTTTCAATAAAGAATTTTTCCTTCTTTACCACTAAAAATTTGCATATGAATGAGACCTGATTTATGATTTTACTGAAAATGAACACATCTCACCAATGTGGTGTTTATTCGCATGATATTTTATCGTGCGCAAAAAAGTCGGTCCCAAAGGGACGATTCTCACTTTATGTGATTCGTGACCGCAAGTGGATGCGATCGATTCATGCATGGTGTTTCTAAACAATCACACAATTGGTGATGCTAGAAATTGAAACATACAGCCCTTCGCGCAAGAAAAAATTGCAGTACACAAGATATAATTCTATTTCTTACATCTGACTAAGGGCCGACCAGGTGGCCAAGTGGTTAGCGTGTCTGAATGCGGAGCCATTGGTCACGGGTTCGAATCCTGCTCAGGGCAGGGATGTTTCTTTCCCTCTCTGTGTTCTATGTCCTTTCTTCATTGTGTGAATGTGACTCACCCTATAAACGGGTTTGCGGTTGTGTGACGTGAGCGACTCTGCTCCACCGCCGTGGCTTCGCCGCAGGTGCCCACTGGGTAACGAGAAGGGAGTAGCAGTTCTGGCATTTCTGTGGCCAATGGGACAAATCTCAAGTGAAAAAAAAAGAACATCTAACTAAGGGACCATTCGTACCGCCTGATTCTTGGCAGGATCGTAAAAGGGAGGGACTACTGGAGAGTTTGTTTGATGTTATAATTTCTACGTCTGCACTTTCCTCTTTTGACTGATAGGGGTCCCGCAGTTGACTGATTGTTAAGACACTGTTCCCAGCAGATCACCGAAGTGAAGCATCACTGGCTTCTGCCAGTGTGCGGGTGGGTGACCACTTGGATCAGTCTGCGTAGGGACCGAGGGTGTGCGGTATTGGTCCTCGTTAAACTGTTCCTCCGTAAAGTGCTCGACTTCGCATGCAGGTCGTCGGGCTACCGAAACGGGGGTGCCATCCCTTCTGCAGAGGATCAAAATTGTGATGGCATGTCTTCGAATCATCCTGAGGGATGTTTCCCAGACCGTCGCCAATTGCCCATTGTGCAGCTCTAGTGCGACGTAAATTAACAGCAACAACAACAAAAAATTGGCTGATAGGGTGGTAAAACGGAGGTACTGCTGGAGATTTTGTTTGATGTTACAATTTGAATGTTGGAATTTTCCTTGCTTTGGTCTTGATTTTCCTGTTTTAATATCTTCTCTTTTATAGCGAGACTTTAACTTGAAGAATCGCTCTCTAATCCTTCCAGTCAAGGGACATGAGGCGCTCTCTAATATCCTTCCAGTCAAGGGACATGAGGCGCTCTCTAATATCCTTCCAGTCAAGGGACATGAGGCGCTCTCTAATATCCTTCCAGTCAAGGAGCATGAGGCGCTCTCTTATATCCTTCCAGTCAAGGGACATGAGGCGCTCTCTCATATCCTTCCAGTCAAGGGACATGAGGCGCTCTCTAATATCCTTCCAGTCAAGGGACATGAGGCGCTCTCTAACATCCTTCCAGTCAAGGGACATGAGGTCTTCTTCTGTATTAGTAGGCGTGAACAGTTCGAGATCTTGAGATGGTGTAAGCAGTGGCTTGTTGTTGATACTATTGTAGTATGATTTTATTTCGCTAGGTTCTTTGCAGTTTTTATCATTTTCAAACAGAACAAGTGGAATTTTATGGTCATGTTTTTTCTTTTGGAATCTGAAGTGATTTATTTTTACTGTTACTTTGTCTATATTGCACATAAATGTTAATATTGCATTCAATTATTGCACATAAATCTTCTGTGAAATGCAATTCAACTTGTTTTGCATCTTTTTAAATTTTTGAATGCTGTTTATGTTTACTTTCTTAACCCAATTATTGATGTTATAAACTCTAAAGTTTTTCTCTGGAAACAGTAATCTGCAGAAATACAATATTAATCATTTCGAGATTTCCAAAAAAATACGGAATGTTTTTGAGCTTTTTCGACTAATTTTATTTGAAAACGAATTGTGAAAAACTTTAAAGTAACGGCCTTCAAAATAAATGAATTGTTACTTACAATCTGGACCAGATAGTTCTGAAGAAGTTTTTCATATTTGGGATTTCTTTAAAAAAGTTTTTAGCAGGTTCGGAAAAGGGAGATTATTTGTCGCAATGATTTGTCGGATAAGTATGGAAATTAAACGAAATGTATTTTTGAAGAGAAAGAATTATTTTTTATATTTGTTAAAAATTGATTATTTTATTGTTACTCTTTTTTAAAAAGAACTTCAAAAAATTTAATGTGTTTAGATTGTTATTAAATAATGACAAGTCCACAACAGTACCTTTATTATCTTAGGTGTAGAGTTGAAGAACATGTAGAGACGATGCCCCCCCCAGTCCCCAATAATATTCCAAAACTCTAGAAATTTTTAAAAATCCTTCTCTTAAAACATCTTACACTTTTTTTTATTTAGGACTTATGTCTAGTAAAATTTATAATGGCCTACGTATAATTTAACAAAATAATAATAATCATTATTTTTATATAATACGAAATCTAGGAATTAATTTTCTAAATTCATTTTTAAAGAAATGTCATTGTCTGGGCACAACGATTTCACAGAAGCAAAATTTAAGTTCCTTTACTAGTATAAAACTTATATAAAGTGGTTGGCCAAAATAATGGAAACACTTCTTTACTAGCACATTTTTCTATATTTCTCAAACAATGTTTCGAGAATTATTTTATAAATTTAAATGTTTGTGTTATGTGATTTCTCATACTTTTCAAAAACGTTTTAAGCTCTTAAAGGTTTGAGGAAACGACGATAAATTACAAACGGAAAATAATGTTTTTGAACACCCCATGCCAAAAAATGTAGAAATAAATTTTTAACTTGTAAAAATTATCTTAGTTATTACATGCACACAATTTCATAAACTCAGCTTAAATAATAGACATGTGGGCATTTTTATATAAACAACTTTTTTTTCTCTTTCGTCTGTCGCTGGGGGGCGCAGTTGGTTTGTCGTCGGCCCTCTGAGCCCTAGTCTGCGGGTTCGATCCCCGGCCCAGACACCGGATTTTCGGGATGCAGAAAATCCTCAGCGGCCATGTCGTATAATTATGCGGCACGTGAAAGATCCCTGGTTTGCCTTAGTGGCTCTTGGCATTTCCGGCAAAATTAAATTCCTAGTGCACTTTAAAGTGCACAAGGAATTTATGCTAATTAGCATCCAAATAGAGTCTCGGTGCTGCCATCTAGTGTGGCAGAAACTAGACGTCCAATTCACATGGCAAACGGTATCTCACCCATTGTGGTGGTCCTGAAAGAGTGGATACCACTTCTGGAGAACGCATTAGGTCTGCTCATCGGGAAGACTGATTGCGCAGCTCATAGGAAATAAAAATTAAAAAAAATTTGTCTTGTGTATTTTAGCTATAACTTTAAAAATATTCAATAAATTAAACGAAATTTTCAGAACAATTTTAAATTAATCTCAAAATCGCTGTTTTGAAATTTGAGAAATGTTCGCTTAAAACTGTGCAAGATATAAGTAATTCAAGTATTTCTTTTTGCTGCACACGCGTGGGCAAAATTAAAAAAAAAATCTTTTTTCTTGATTTTGTAAACAATCACATTTGGCAACTTATAAGAAAAGTCCGATTTGAGTATCTTGAAAATTTATAGACAATCAAATAATAGTCTAAGCAGTTTTCGTATTTTTTAAAGGAAAGCTCTAAATGATAAGGGGTTTTTCACAAATTTCATTTTACACTATTAAACAAGATTTATTAAAAATGACACCGACATTGTTGGTGATTATCCCCATAAAAATATCTTTCTTTCGTTTCTATTCTTCCATTGTAGAATCATATTTTGTTGTATGAACGTTTGTTGTAAGGTATTATCATTTGTTATTCAATCTTATAATATTTTCTCTGTTATTAGTCTGATTTATTCCTTGTTATTAGTCTTATGATACAAAATAATATTTTTAGATTGTCCCTAATAATTTTTGAGTTTCTTTACAAAGTATCGATGAATCGAGGTTCGATTGCATTCACATTTTATGAATATAGGCTTATTCCATATGGAAACAAAAACAAAGATCCTTGATCTCAAATTTTTTTTGTGCATTATATGTTTGTTAAATATTGTGCTTTTCAATATGAAAAAATCTAAGAAGGCGTTTTTTGCTTTCGGTCATTAATAAAATAAAAAATGATTTTAGGTCAAAATATTTCAAGATTTGATTGGAGAAGTTTTTATATCATGATAAACAAATAAGGAGAGGTATATGGGAATGAAAAAGATCCAATATCATGGGAAAGAAGCAGAGTGATATATAACAATGGAGTAAGACTTTAGGTCACTTTTATTTCTTCTTTCCATGAAAAAAAAAATTCAATATCTGGTTAAGAGCCTTGATGGTTCATGGGTTTGAGCGTCCGCTTTCCAATGAGGTGAATCGGGTTTGAATCCCAGCGATGGCTGGTAGATACGAATTCCGCATTCGGCTTGCACCGATCACAGTGCTGACGTAATAGTTGAACGCTAGCAGTCGTAAACCCAAAAAATTTGGTCGGTTGTTCAACGAAGGTTATAAAATAAAATGGTAAATGGCAATGGAGGAAGACTTTGGATCATTTTTAATTCTTCTTATAATGAAACAAATCTAATATCCGGTTAAGTGTCGAAGAGAGTTTGTCTTCCAAAGAGGTGGACTGGGTTCGAATCCCGACAATAGCTGGTTGATTCGTCTTCCGTACCCGGCTCGCACCGACCACAGTGCTGACGTAAAATATCTCCAGTAGTTACGACGGTCATAAAATAAAATATCAGGCTAAATAAGCAAGGTGGTATGTGACAATGGAGAAGTTCTTTTATTACGATAAACAATTGTTTATCGTAATAAAAGAACTTCTCCATTAAATAGAGATCTATATGGAAATGAAACTGATAAAATATTATGGGGAAGGGAAAACAGAGAGGTACATGGCAATGGAGAAAGATTTTAGATCGTTTTTATTTCTCCTTTTACTGGAAAAAATTTAATTTGCAAAAGAAACAGAGTAATATAGGGTGGCAGAACTCATATAATATTATGGAACAAAGTAGTATATGGCAGAATGGTAAAGGCAGCGAGTGCGCAATTGAGGACCACATCGTGGCACTGGTCTCGAAATTAAAAAATTTTGTAAATATACATAAAATTTCAAAAAATTACCACAATAGTATAATTAAATGAGCGAGTGTTTATGCTAGTGTGCGTATTCCACGAGTCACTGTCAAAAGTACAGATAGTTTTCAACGAGCTTTTGTCATTTTAGCAAAATAAAAGAAAAAAAAAACATATGTTTTGAGTTTACTATGTTTTTCGTTGCAGCTAGATTATAGTAAGTATTTTTTTAAGTAAGATTATTAGTATTAGTAGAAATTTCAATAGTTGAATTTTCTTTTTCTATTGTTATAATATTAGATCAAAGAAATGATTTAGTTTTATTTTTTTTTTTAATTTTTAAAAGATTAAGGAACTTTTAAAGTCTAAAGTGTGTGTTATTTAGTATATCTTTCTACATATAACTTTGTGTTGTAAAAAAGAAATTTAGTAAGCACTAGAAAGTGCTGTAATGTGACTGCAAATGTTTTGATAGCTTCAAGAAAGATACGAAACAATGAGGCATCAGATGTTCAACAGGGCAGATACTTTTTTTTTTATTTAATATCAAACAATGAGACGTCCAACTAGAGGGAAAGGGTTTTAACAAAGAACTTCTCCCCATGCGCTCCAACAGATTCTAGATTTAGTTATATGGCACATGGTCAACAAGATGAATCTGGAAGCAGTCGCTCACCCAACCAGTTCAAAGATTCCAACAGCTCTGACAAGACACTGCTGTCCCAACTGCTACCGCTGCTAGACCAAGACGCTGCAACAGAATGAAATAACAAACTAATGTATGAATATGATAAATTAAGTACTTTTTTAACGCATGCAAATGGCTAAAATAAAATATCAGTCTTAAAACTCAAGCAATCGGTGAATATATATTTCTTTCACGTTTCCATATTTTCCATAAAAGTGGGAAATTGAATATGTGTTAAAATTGAGAAGAATTTTTTGTGTGTGCACAATTGTGATTGCGATGCTACATACATGAAACTTTTATCGATACTTGGATAATAATATTTGTTTTTGAACAATAATTTGGGAGTATTAATATTTGTTTTGAGACAGTAATTTGGGAAAAATAATGCTCCTTTTGGAAGCTCGACTAGCGTAAGATTGCCGAAGGCGTTAACACTAGAAAGACTGAACAATGCTGTATACCTAGGAAGACTAAAGGGACCAATCTGCCCCCTCCCCAATTCTTTGAGGGCAGATAAATTAGACACCCAAAACCTAAAACTATAATCATAATTATTTTAATAAAAACATATAGACTTAATCATTGAAATTCTATGATGTTTTATTCGATTTTTTTACGAAAATAATTCGAACACTTGCTTTTTAATTTGAGGTATACATTATTTTCATAGATAATTGAGTTTCTTTTTCTCTATAAATAATAATTAAAGATATGATGTAATGCTCTTAATTCTTGTGAAAAAGCTGGGGTACCTTATACATACCAAAGAGTATCCTATATCCAAAATGACCTGTGGTTATGGGTTACAGTGAAACCTGCCTAGTTGACCACCCTTGTAAGTTGGACACCTGCATAAGTTGACCTCAATTATCAAGAACGGAATTTTTTCTATATGATATAAAGAAGCAAAACCTTTGTAACTTGACCACCTGTCTATCTTGTATGTTGACCACTGAAACAAGTCAATTTTGTCGAGGAGTATTATGAAATTCTATTCTAAAACCCTCATAAGTTGACCAGAGAAAAAAATTCAGAAAACTTTCTGTCATTTTGCAATGTATGTTAAAACTTCACTTGTTTGGTGAAATAGTGTAAAAAGCTAATCTAAACCCTTTTGTGAGTTAACCACCTGGGTAAACTGTAGGGGGCCAGCTTTTAACCATTTCTTTCATTCAAAACATATGTTTTCGTGTTCTGATATTTGAAGAAATTATTTTCATTAAACATTTCACATGCATAGCTAACGAAATAATTTTTTAAAAAAAGTTGTTAAATATAATTTTATAAATCGAGTGAAATTTTTTTTAAATGTATAGCAACATGATATAGGAAACGGAAAAGTAAACAATGATCCCCCCCTCTATAAGTTGCCCACTTGTCTAAGTTGACCACTAAAACAATGCACCACAAGTGGTCAACTTATACAAGTTTTACTGTACTACCAAAATACTTAAAATGTCATTTTAATCCCTTCCGTCATTCTAGTTATGCGGTTCTATATAAACGTAATAAATATACACTAATACTCTAAATATTATCTACATCTATTTAATAAATACGTTTTTGTTACAAACGCTTGAAAAAAGTTGAACAAAAATTCTACACAAATATTAAAATTAAATAAAAAATTAATATATACGTGAAAACTCATTTACTTTTTTCGCAGCAAGGAAATTTTTTTTATCTTAGTCACAGGTAATATTGCCTTTTCTTAAGATATATAATTTCTTAAAATTTAACAATATATCAATATAATATCAATGATTAGACTTTGGGGCTATTTGCTAAACTTGCATTCTAATTCACCATTTTCCCTCACCTATCACAATCAGTTCAGTCTTCCATTATCATACTTCACTGTCTTTGGAGTTAGAGTAAGTTTTGATTGGATTATTTATTCTGCATAGCTCCATTCCGTTTCCAATGCTACTTTTGTTTATTTTGATACTATTCTTTCTATTATAAACAATGAGGTTTAGTATTTAAATCTCGCGACTGAAAGTTTTCAAATGCACATAATTTAACTGTAACTTGTGAAGGACAATGGTAAATAATATTAACATTAATTACTAATTGAAAAGCAGGAGCTGCAATGGCTCTGGGATAGAGTACTCGCATCCCAGTGAGTACAAGTTCCATAAGTGCAAGTTCGAATCCCAGCAATGGCTGGTCGATTCGAATTTTGCTACCGGAGAGCACCGATCCCAGTGAAGACGTAAAATATCTTCCATTGTAGACGAATCATGGGTTAGTATCCCTTGTCATCGGACTAACCATAGGAGGTTTTCGTGTTTTTCTTTCCATGTAATGGAAATACGGTTTAGTCCCATTAAAAAAAATCTTCCACCTAGGCTAGTCCAGGAGTTCTTTTATCTTCTGTGTTGGACTTATTATTACAAGTCAATACGGATTTGAACAATGATAGTCGTAAACCCACGACGGATGAAAAATAAAATAAAATGATTTGAAATACATATTTTGGGCTACTAACATAAAATAAGATTTGCGAAAAAAGAGCAATATGTGATTAAAAAATAGAAATATTTTGCAAATTAGCAATGCAATCAAAACTTGTTAAAAGCTCAAGTGAGCCATGGTGACTCAAGGGATAAGGCGTTTGCCTTCCAATGGCGTGAGCCGGGCTCGAATCCCAACGATGGCTGTTCATTACGAATTCAGCCCTGGCTCGCACCGACCACAGTGGTGACGTTAAATATCCTCAGTAGTAGGCGGATCATGGGTTAGATTCCCCTTGTAATCAGACTAACCGTGGGAGGTTTTCCTCTCCATGCAACGCAAATGTGGGTTAAGTCCTCCACGAGGGCAAATTTCTCCCAAATGCTTGATCCACGCGCGATGTTGAGCATTGTTCCTAATAGTACATCGATGTCTGCAAGCTCGCGCTAAGAGCATTTTCCTCCGTAAGTGTGCGGTGATAGCTGTGGCGATGATCGTTATCTTTCCCCGTCTTTTTTACATCGTGATATATCGTTTCTGACACGATGGATCCGAATGTGATTGAGAATCGAAGTGTTATCTCTTAGTCATGGAAGGGTTTTCTTTTAATTGTGTGTGTGCTGTTGATTTTTTTACAATCAATCCAGCCGTTTAACGTTTTTTAATAGTTATTTTGCAGACATCCGCGTCTTTAAATATTAAAAATGCAACGATTACTTAAAAAAGAAATGCAACTTACTAATTACGAATTTACTAAACATAAAACATTAATATACCGAATCATCACGATGCATCAAAATATCGCGATGTTAGCGTGACGATACATCACGATGTCAAAATCTTAACATCATCCAGTCCTGGTAGCCAGTAAGTGGAATTACTAATTCAATATTCTTGCTGTGTCCATGACGACTGTTCTGAGTTTTAGGTAGTTGCATCGTATATTTACAAACCTTATTGCTTCCAACTTAAGGTAAGAATGACATTTAAGCTTAAATAACAAATAAACATACATGACCTAATTATGCAATCAAAAGCATATGTAACATTCAGGGTTGTGTGTTGGCATACTACATACACAGCATGCGGTAAAACTTGCTTATAGGAATATATTGGAACGAACTCAATTCCAGTTAGTGCAATCGATTTCTATCTATTCACAGTTTGATAGGAAAAAAACTGTGCAAAAACGAAACAAAAAAAGTGCAATACTGAAAAGAAAAAAAAAGGGGATATATTTTGAGAAGGTCAAAAAACCTAATAGATTACAAAAAAGGGGAAAAAATGGAATTTTGGTTTCAAAAAAAAATTGATAAATATAAGTTGAACGTACAAACGCCCAACCTGTGGTTGAGGCAGGGTTCCATCTTTGGAGGAACATCTCACCAGAAGACCCTTACAGCGATTACATTCTGTAGACTTCGTTACAGGTGGCGTCGAACCAGAGCCTTGGGCCTGTAAACAGCATACAGATAACATCAGATAGAACACTTTCACGTATCATTCACTCGCATTTGTCTCAAAACGGATCACAGAAGCGTTGAAGGATTGTCCTAATCTTATTCGATTTACTCTCGAACGCAGTTTGGAAATTTTGGTTTGTTGGATTTAGCTCTTCAGGGTTGGAGGGTAATTTTGTTTGGTTTTGATAAGCAATTTTGTTTCGATTGGATTGTCAATTTTGCTTAGTTTGGATTGGCAGTTTTGTTTCGATTGGATTGGTAATTTCATTTCACCTGAATTAACAACTTTGTTTCGTTTTGATCGGCATTTTTGTTTTGCTTGGATTGGCAGTTACGTTTCGTTTGGATTGTCAATTTTGTTTAGTTTGGATTGGCAGTTTTGTTTCGATTGGATTGGTAATTTCATTTAACCTGAATTAGCAACTTTGTTTCGTTTTGATCGGCATTTTTGTTTTGTTTGGATTGGCAGTTACGTTTCGTTTGGATTGTCAATTTTGTTTAGTTTGGATTGGCAGTTTTGTTCCGATTGGATTGGTAATTTCATATCACCTGAATTAGCAACTTTGTTTCGTTTTGATCGGCATTTTTGTTCTGCTTGGATTGGCAGTTACGTTTCGTTTGGATTGGCAATTCTGTTTCGTTTGGATTGACAATTTTTTTGTTGGAATTGGAAAATCTATTTATTCAATTATTTATTGTTTTAGGAGCATTAATCTATCTTTTTTGGGGTAGAATCGGAAATTTAGTTTTATTGAAAATGGAAATTCTGTAAATTTTTTTTATTGGAATGGCAATTCTGATTTGTTCTGATTGGTAATTTTGCTTTGTTGGGACTGGCAATTCTGTTTTGCTTTAATGGGCAATTCTTTTTACTTGAAATTGGCAATTAGCATGCGAAATTCCGTTAGTCAAATATGATTATTTATTGACTGATTATTTTGGAATTATTGAAAATTCTGTTTTGTTTGGATAGCAATTCAGCTCAGTTATAGTTTTGAGGGGTGGTGTCAATATGAGACTCAACTAGATAATTACGAATATTTTTGTACATATATTAAACTGATAAGTCTTTTATAGCTCTTTTTTTCTGCTTGTTTAAAAAAATATATTTTAATTTTTTTAATGGTAGTACAAGATGGCAGTAAAAGACAAAAATATTACAATGATCAATTTTAAAAATTAAAACAAATTAAAATATACGAATGATTTAATTGAACCACATAAGAATATTTTGCAATTAAGAATTTTCGAAAAATTATTAATTTTTTTAAATAAAAGAGTGTGGAATTTGGAAGTATATATGACAAGTAAAATTATTCATAAAATATGATAAAGATATTAAAAAAATCTACATTTTTTGATCGAAAACTATATTTCATGTCAATATATACTCAGATCTATCAACATTAAAAATACGTTTTCACCCTGTTCATAAAATGCGTTGGAGACGTACTTCAATTATGTGTTATCATATATTTAAAATATATATAGATAAATTGATATAAGTAATAAGAATTTTGGGTTTTATTCTTGAGATATAAATATAAGTTTTTACTTGTTAGAGTTTCTTTTAAAGTTCTTAAAAGTTATTACCCTTTAATCTTCTAAACGATATTGTTTACTTCGAGTTACTTTCTTTTAAGTTCACTTAGTGAATTTTTATAATGTGTTCAGTGAAAGAGCTGATTTTTTGTTACTTTTCACACGTGAAATCACTGACTTATAGGTTACAGTTTTAAAGCTTTCTGCTTGTGAAAGAATAGCAGGTTTGTAGTTTACAGTTTCAATACTTTCAACTGTTATAAGAGCCGATTTAGTGATTTTAGTGAAAGAGCTGATTTTGAGATTCTTTTCTTTCGTGAAAAGATTGGTTTAGACTTTTCAGTGAAAGAGCTAATTTTGAGTTACTTTTCACACGTGAAAGCACTATCTTATATTTTAAATTTTTACGCTTTCTACTTGTGAAAGAGCTGTTCTGTAGTTAACAGTTTCAACTGTTATAAGAGCTGATTTAGTGATTTTAGAGAGTGGACTGATTTTGAGTTACTTTTCACTCGTGAAGCTCTGCCTTATATTTTACAGTATTAGTACTTTCCACACGTAAAAGAGCTGGTTTTTAATATAAATTCTTTAAACTAATTAAGGGACTGACACATAGTTTTCTATTTTCAATTGTCTTCATACGTAAAATGCTTCGTTCGAGAGTAAGTCGAAAGATGGATTTGGAAGCAAGGGAATAAGTGCAACATGCAAGGAACAGCAGGAGAAAACTCTAAGGCGAAAACAATTTTAAATCTTCTAAAACAACAAAATATTTGAATAAAACAATCATAAATGCTGTTCACATATTTCAAGTATCAATAACTTTTGTCTATACAAGGAAGTATAAAAAGGTAAAAACTTAAAATATTAATAAATAATTGAAAAATGAAAATCTGACTAAAAGTTTTGTCCGAAAACAAATATAAAGTTTCTAGCATTGTGTACATCTGAAGAAATAAACGAAGAAACTTAACTAAGTGTTTCTTCCATTAAATACCAGTGGACCAAAATGTAACAAACCACAATTTCAGCAATTCATATTTTAAAATGCATAAATATGAAAGATTGAATTGGCTGCTCGGAGTTTATCATTGGAAAAGCGATTGAAGCCTTTCTATTTGTTTAATGAACGAAATATCCTTAAAACTAAAGTTGAAAATTTCAAAATGAAAAAGAAATCAGAAAGCTACGTAAGGTGAAAATCCATATTGTATACACAAAATTGAGAAAAATATAAAAAGTTACAAAATGTTTAAGCTATGAAAACTCAAAAATGTCAAAAACAAATAAGGCACTTTTTTACTTTATGAAAATAGAAATTTCAAAAAGAAAAAAATTTCAAAAAGAAAAAAATGTAGACCAATAAAAAAAAGGGGGTGTTGGAGTTATTTAATAATAACATAATCAAATTATTCTTATTAAAAAGCATGCATTCTAAAAATGTCGTAAACACGTAATTCATGCACACTACTTACCATGCAAACTGCTCAATTTTTCACGCATCATGCACTCATTATACTTATTTTATTAACATGAAATAGATACTACATAGCACAACTAGTTAGGTACATGTTATAAGAGTTAACGGCAAATGCAATTTTAGAAAGCAATTTTAAAATGTTCATACAAGGTGCTCTCTAATTACCACCCTTAATGCATACGCTTTGGAACTTCGTTAGAAATGAAGAATAACATATACACATAAAATAATATGTATGCATAATATATTTATGGATATATATTTTTTTATTTCAATGAGCTGCACAATCGGTCTTGCCGATGAGCAGACCTAGTGCGTTCTCCAGAGGTGGTATCCACTCTTTCAGGACCACCACAATGGGTGAGATACCGTTGGTCATGTTAATTTGGACGTCTAGTTTCTGCCACACTAGATGGCAGCACCGAGACTCTATTTGGATGCTAAAGCGCACTAGGAATTTAATTTTGCCGGAAATGCCAAGAGCCAATAAGGATCTCCAGGGATCTTTTACATGCCGCATAATCATGCGACATGGCCGCTGAGGATTTTCTGCATTCCGAAAATCCGGTGTCTGGGCCGGGGATCGAACCCGCAGACTTGGGCTCAGAAGGCCAACGAAAGTGCAACATATATATTTATGAATATATATGTTGCTATATTTATGTACATGTATGGATTATGGATATATATTTATGAACATGTATTTATGGAAAGAATAAATAGTTTACAATATAGAAAGAATTTTTTTCCCTACTATACTTGAGTATTATACGAAAATTATATTTGTATTATAATCTATCGTATCTAGTTTTTTTTATAAGAAATACTGTACTAAAAATGTCAGGTCTGAAATTCTCTATAACTTTTAATATACGAGTATTTTTTTAAGTTTTATTTTCATAATAAAATAGATTTATGAATAAATAAAGTGATTGCCATTTTTATTTATATTTAAGTGTGTGAGACAAATTTTAACTTTTCGTTCGAAATAATTTGAGTTAACAAAACAGAATTCAGTAGAACGAAATTTTGATGTCTTTAAAAAAAAGTAAAATTGCATTGATTTATCTGCAATTTCCTAAACGTTACCTCATAGTAAAAGTTTTGAAACCTATGGAATATTTAAACACTGTGTATAAAAAACTTTAATATTTTTTTTTGTAAAGTTCTGTAGAATCAAATGAAATAAAAAATGGATGAAACTGAAGAAATATTTTGATCATGGAAGCATTTTAAGTGCAAAAGGTTATAAATATTTTCTAAAGAATTTTTATTTTACGTTTCATTACATTTAGCATGATTGTAAGAATGAATGGATTTAAAATTCATATTTTTTCATTTTTATTTTTGAGTACTTTAATAATCAAAAGTAAAATTAGGAAAAATATGCCAAAAATGCATGTTTGTCACCCGAAACATTTGGTTATTATATGTTTATCAAATGTATCAAATGCAAATGTATGTCAAATTTACATTTAAAAAAAATAAAATCAAATAATTTTCGATCAAAGAGTAGAATTAATTCTTTCAAATCAATAAATCTGAATCGCAATTTTAATCAGTGCTGAAATTATTCCATTAATTTCGCATATCTCTGTTTTACCCCGACATCTTTGTAATGAAGTAATACAAAAAATGGCTTTATGAAAAAAAGTAGTATGAAAAAAAAGCATAAAAAATGTTAACTAACTCAGTGGATGTTTTATACTGCTGCTACCATTTTATTTTTTACCGATTCTAGTCATGAATTAACCATAAATAAACCATAGTTGGTAGGATTTTTTTAAAAATTCATCTGGGGAAATGATAGTTTTGAAATATTTGTTCTACTACAATATATGATTTTTTTGAAAGAAATTGTCCGATAAATATGAAACTGGGCTCTAAAAGGTTAAGCCTAATAATTTGACGAATCAACCGAATTAAGTGAAAAAATAATATTAGATACTAGAAAAATAAGTTTTTAAGTATTTCAAACAGACGAATCATTTTGGAAATTCGAATTACAGCTAGAAAATAATTTCTCTCTTTTGTTTCTATAAGGATTTTTCAGAATATGCAAATAAGATTCTTGACCTTCAAAAGCAGGAGGTAACCGTGATCTGAGAAATATGTTTCCAATACTTAATGCAAGAGAACGGCCGAAAAAAAGCACGTCTTTTCAAAGAAAGTACATTTTTAAATCTGAAAATGAAATGTGAAATTAGCATTAAAAGTCCCAAACATAAACCCGCTCTCTTGAACAAACCTAATGGGACTAAATTTTTCAGATTGCAGCTACCTCCCATATTTTTAGGATCAAGAAATCAAATCTACCCAAAAAACGGCATGTTTATTCAGATAAAGTTCGTTTTTTTTGTCTGATTTCGTTACTTAAAATAATAGCTGTACTAATTAATTAGCATATTTAAAGGTCAGCCTTTCGAATCATAAAGTTTGAAACTAAGTACGAGATAATCCGATCATTATTTAAAAAATTATTCAGGGTGTTCCGTTTTTATTGCACACTGTACATACAATTAATATTTCAACGAATAAAAAATCAAAATAAAACTAATCGCAACTCAGGAAGACGGCGCTGACAACATCGAAACCTGTTTGATTGATTAAAAAAACAGAAAGTGATCATTAGAAATGCTTCCAAGTCTTGTTTAAAATTAAACTGATGCTTTTCCGCCACCTCCCTCAATAGTGATTCAGCAGATTTCGGTATCGTTTTTAATTCGATTGAATATTAAGCTGCGACTATTAACATGAATATATTTTGATGGAGATTCAAAAAATAAATAGGAAGGGTGGTCATTACAGAGCACCCTATAAATTGAAATGATTTTTGAGTCTACTTAATTTGCATAAGCTAAATTTTGAGCTAAGTCTCAGGGACACTTACTTCTCTTGTTGGGCCACATCTCAACCAAGAAGTTCATAATATCTATAGGTCTTCGAATGTCAACTGTGGCAGTGGGTGTCTCTGCGTGGCACATAAGCACCGGCCCAAAGGCCATGGCCAGGCTCTGAGGCGTCATCTTGTTTCGGTCACAATGACTAGCAATCAGGCGCATGTGGTCTAGCAATAACAAAACAGTGCACTACAAACAAAAAAGAACAAACATACATAAGTTCAAATACAAGAATACACTACAACGTTCTTTTCTGTTTCAGCAAATTTTGTTTACCAACAGGTTGTCATGTTAAGTAAAGAATAGAACTGTTATCGGTTATAGGAATACCCAGATAGCAAAATAAGGTTTATTTTCACTCAACCGAAACCTTTTCATGTAAACCTAAAAAGGTTTTACTGCGGTTTATGTGTAAACCTTCTAATCTTAAAACTGTGACAATCTGCTCTATTCTACTCCACATTACCCTAATCCAAAACCTTTAAAAACAACCTTCTATCTAAAAACCTGAAATCGAGATTGTCTTAGCTTGAAAAAATCTTTGAATAAAGCTAGTCGTAAGATGAAAATAATCTTAAATCTAGGTAATTATAAGGTTTCTTTTCGCAACGTCTTGTAGGCTCAGCTAAAGTCCACCTTGTCATGAAATTTTAATGGACAATGCAATTTGATCCTATCGCTAGCATGACGTCAGCTAAAATGTTATTATGGTCCTAAGTGACCACTTTACATAAGTGAGAATACTTTTTAAAAAAGTTGTTAAATTTTTTTTTAATCCTTTTAGGATGAAAGGTTCGAAACTGCAACATTTTTTCTTCATTGAAAAAAGGTTTTTAGTATAAACATTTTCGCGACAATGAAAAGAAAATTTCAACACAAGGTTGCTGTAAGGTTACATACCTTCTGGGTAGTATTGGTTTCTATGATAGTCCGTATAAGTTCTGCACTTTTTCAGCGGTTATAAAATAATAATTAAAGTAAGTTAAAGTGAGCTAAATGATTTTAAATGCAACCATCATTTTAAATCTTACCATTGGATTACATTTGAAAAAAATTTTGCTGCAATTTGGTATTCCGAAAGCTACAGATTTTTTTTCAAAGTCTAAGTGATGACACTTTCGGTAATTTTAAGTACCCCGGATACTTCCACCTAAGTACGTACTCGTTCCATGTTGTCGGTGCCACAGAGAAAATTATCCACGAACGTCTTCTGTGTCGTAACTATTCGCGTCTAATTGTATCTTAACTGCTTACAGAACGCTTGTAAGCAGTTTTACTTCAAGGTTGAGATCGGGCTACTACATAGCTTCAAGTACCCTCTCCCGGTGAGCTAAACGAAAGATTTAAGGGGTCTTTGCAGCCCCCCTAAAAGGTCTATAAAAATTTTCCTTTGTAAGGTGGTTTGGCTCATAGAGGCCAAATTGCCGTCCGAGTTTGCAATTTATACCTTAATATTGAAGGGAGTTAGATGGACTTGAAATTTCAACCTTTTTTACTTTACTTTTTCTTCATTCCTCTTTATGTACCACTCTTGTCATCGTGACGTATTATCGGCGCCATCTGGTAGCTTCTAGTAATTTTCAAATTATTACTGAAGATATATCTGAGATAATTCTCCAGGTGTGATTCGGAATTATTCTTAATTTATGGATAAGAGTGCATTTTATAGAATGATAGACAATTCAAAATTAAAGTTGTCATAACTTCTTTGAAACACTTTAAAAGCCTCGCTACAAGAGAGCTTAAACACAGTAACGTTACATATGAACTTTTGAATCATTTGTATGTAGTGGCCTGGAAAATATCTTTAAATCAGATTTACAAAAACAGAGAATCATAAATTACAATATGAATTTAGCTCTCACTTGAAGAAATTTTCGCAAAATGTTCAGAAAGCTATCACCTGGCCTCAAAAAGTGGAAAACAGTGAGCAAGCAGTGGTTTTTTTTAACACAGACAACACCGCTGTTTGCTTTTAAGGCCTTTTTCATAAACCATTGAATTATTTTAATATCATGGTAGTAAATAATAGTTTTACCCTATATGTTAAATCATAAAATTTTTTACCGTTTTAAATATTCCAGCTTAAGCCAGAAAAGTTGCCAAATCTGCTGCCTACATTTCCTACATCCCTTAAATTTAATCATGTTCTTATAATAGTACAAATAGAGTTAGACACCTTACTCTTTTTGACCTAGACGTTAAATATAACTAGAAGTAAGAATACAGCCAGAAGTTAGGGGTGAAAGGAGCATAGGTAGTGCGAAAACGTGTTTTGAATACATTCAATTTCCTTGAAAGCAAAAGAAGTGATTTGAAATACTGTACCAGGTTTGCCTTGGTTAATTTTTTATCACTCTAAATATTCGAAATAAAATTCCAGCTTAAGCCGGAAAAGTTAGCAAGTCTGCTGCCTACATTTCCTACACCCTTTAAGTCTAATTATTCTCTTATAATAGTACAAAGAGTGAGACGCCTCACTCCTTTTGACCTAGACGTTAAATATAACTAGACGTAAGAATACAGCCAGAAGTTAGGGGTGAAGGGAGTATAGGTAGTGCGAAAATGTGTATTGAATATATTCAATTTCCTTGAAAGCAAAAGAAGTGATTAGTAATACTGTACTAGGTTAATCTTGGATAATTTTTTACAACTCTAAATATTCGAAATAAAATTCCAGCTTATGCCGGAAAAGTTGCCAAATCTGCTGCCTACATTCCCTACACCCCTTAAGTCTAATTATGTTCTTATAATAGTACAAATAGAGTGAGACACCTCACTCCTTTTGCCCTAGACGTTAAATATAACTAGACGTAAGAATACAGCCAGAAGTTAGGGGTGAAGGGAGTATAGGTAGTGCGAAAACGTGTTTTGAATGCATTCAATTTCCTTGAAAGCAAAAGAAGTGATTTGAAATACTGTACCAGGTTTGCCTTGGTTAATTTTTTATCGCTCCAAATATTCGAAATAAAATTCCATTTTTAGCTGGAAAAGTTGGCAAGTTTGCTGCCTACTTTTCCTACACCCCTTAAGTCTAATTATGTTCTTATAATAGTACAAAGAGTGAGACACCTTATTCATTTTGTGCTAGACGTTAAATACAACTAGACGTAAGAATACAGCCAGAAGTTAGGGGTGAAGGGAGCACAGGTAGTGCGAAAACATTCAATTTCCTTGAAAGCAAAAGAAGTGATTTGAAATACTGTATCAGGTTTGCCTTGGTTAATTTTTTATCGCTCTAAATATTCGAAATAAAATTCCATTTTAAGCCAGAAAAGTTGGCAAGTTTGCTGCCTACATTTCCTACACCCCTTAAGTTTAATCACGTAGAATTTTCATCAAATAGAGTGAGACGCCACACTCCTTTTGCGCTAGACGTTAAATGCAACTAGACGTAAGAAAACACGTTTGGGTTGAAGGGAACATGGGCGGCGCGAAAACATATTGTGAATGCATTCAATATCCTTGAGAGAAAAGAAAAAAGAAGAAGTGTTAATACTGTACCAGGTTAGCCTTGGGTAAACATTCAAGAATACTGAACATGAGTTTGGCGCTGCCGTCTGGATCATCAGGCAGACAGACGCTGAGGCCATCAACTAACATATCATAGAGACTTCTGCTCAATAACGGTTCAGGCAATTCTCTTAAGTAATCTTTTAACAAACCTTAAATAAACAATAACAATAATTATCATTTTATTTCTATAAACACAGAATTAAAATAATTGACTCACGTTTTCATTGACATCGCTAGATTTTGACGTAAAAGTAGAATTGTGCTGGCGTGAAACATTTAGTCTGCCAATACAAACTGTACAGTGTGGGTTTCTACGTAACTTACATATCTTGCTATTTCAGGAAAGCCCACAGATGACTAAATATTTAAGAAGCGGTAGAAACTTATTTCTTTTGATAATTTTTCTCTAGGTGCAAAATTGTTGCCAAATTGGCGATTTTTGAAAATGTTTACTAATTTCAAAAGTATTTTAGTTATTAGTCCGTTCTAAGAGCCAGATAATTCTCTACAGCAAGATGGCGTGTGCAGTTTAAAATTATAACTTTTTTTTTAAGTGAAAGGTACTTAAACTGTGGCTTTTTTTATTTTTCTTGGTGAAAGAGCTTCGAAAACCCCTGTTAAAGTAATGCTTCAGATTGGTCAAATATTTCAATACAGAGGAGGTATGTGTTTTTCATCATCGCTAATTCATATTTTTACCTAAAGATGATACAGCGGTAGCGATTATTTTTACTCATAGATAATAGGGAGGTAAGAAGTGTTTTTATACATAGATAATAGAACGCAACGAATCTATTAACTCATAGATAATAGGACAGTAAGAACTATTTTTAATAATGGATAATAGGGAGCCATGATGGCTCAGGAGCTTTCGCCTTCTAATGATTCCAACCGGATTCGAATCCCAGTGATGGATTGTCACGAATTCCGCACCCGGCTCGCTCCGACCACTGTGCTGACGTAAAATATCCTCAGTGGTAGGACGGATCATGGGTTAGAGACCGTCAGGCAAATCGTGGGAAATTTTCTTGGTTTTCCTCACCGTCTTACTCAAATGCGGATTAGTTCCATTAAAAAGTCCCCCACGAATGTAAATTTTTCCCTATACTCCATCCAGGAGTTCCCTTGTCTCTTGGGTTTGGTTCAAAATTGCAAGATTAAGGAGTTGAATTTTGATAGTCATAAACTCAGAATTGTATCTGCGTTTTAAATTTTGCTGGTTATAAAATATGAATTAAAATGTCCTTGCGTAGAATTCGATCCTCGGGTCGGGGCAAGGTTGACTCAGCCTTCAGTGGGTCGATAAGTGAGTACCAAGCATATTTGGGAACTAAGCACTGGGGGTTTCGCGTTCAGCTGACCACCTTACCAGAACATCAACTTCTGCACCCCAGAGCCCAAGGTCAAGAAAACTGAGATGGGATCAGTAGGCCTTGGCCCTCTATGGCCTGTCACGCCACTGAGTTTAGTTTATGTAGAATCGGACTATATTGGAACATTTGCTACAGAAACTGAAATATTCGTTTTAAGAATTTGGGTTTAAACTTCCTTCCATTTAGAAAATTAACATAAGTACGAGGATAAAAGTTCGTTCTTTTAAAGTGTTAACTTAAAGGGTTGTTTTATGAAGAAAGAAAAAAAAGAGAAGTACTGACTTGTAACAACATTAATATCTGGAACGTGCTCTACAGAGAGATTGGCCATGACGGTACTTCTCTCGAATTCTTCTTTTAAGAGTCGCTTTCTAAGAGCTGATCCACACAGCCTATAAATGCCTACTATGTCCATGCCTCGCTTTTCTACTTCTTCTGTACACCTAAACAATAAAACACAGGGATTAAAAAATATTCTGAATTCTACGAACTGTTTCAGTTATATGAAAAATGGTATGCAATTGCATCGAACGTTTATAGCATTTAGATCCAAAATTAGGATTAAAAAATAATATTTTAGTAAGATAGTCCTAAAATAATCTTTTAGTATAATCCTATTTCCCTAAGTAGACTTAATAGAACAAAAGCAGATCATTTAGTAGACTTTTTAATAAAACAAAAACACAAGGCTGAAAAAATCTTTTGAATTATATTCTACGAACTGTTTCATTTAGATGAAAAATAGTATACGATTACATCGAACGCTTAGAAGTATTTAAAAACAAAATTAGGATTATTAAATGATCTTTAAGTAAGATCATTCGCAAAAACTTTATTCAAATAGCTCCCAATCTTGTGAATTTGAAGAACACATTTCTTTAAATCCCTTTGACTCAGAATTTTAATCAACCATATTTTTCGAACTTTTTTTTATTATTTTATATAAATTTAGGTAAAAATAAGTGAAAAATAATATGTTTATCATTTTAATAATTTATGGTTGATAATTTATGGTACAGCGGGAAACATCGGTGTCTTTTACTGCATTAAATAGGTAAAAGGTAAAATTTTCCAAATACGATTTACTTCCAAACAATAATTTTAAAAATTTGCACTTATTTGCAGTTATTTAGATCTAACAGAAACAGTTNAACTGATCATCATTGGTTGCAAAACTTCTTTAATACAATTTAAACCATTCCAAGATATATTTGCTTGCTTAAAGAATGAACAAGTTTTAAACCTTAATAGCAAGGATTTTCCACTTTAATTTATGTGTGCTGTAGAAATGTAAACTATTTATGTTCATTCTAAATATTTTTATGAATTACATTAACATATTTTTGTAAGTTACACATTAAAATATACATTGGTAGTAAAACATATAAATATTAACTGTTTACCTATTTGTGCTTAAATATTTAATCCATTCATGTGAATAACATATATTTTTGTATTTTTAAAAATAGCAAATTTTATAAGTATTTTTCTATAAATCCTGGATTAAAATATACATATCAATTCATATTTGTGTGTATATATATATATATATATATATAAGAAAATTTCAATGATGAATAACTGTAACAATTTCGAGATAAAATGTTTACTTTAATGCAAGGCATCTAATAATGAAACTTACTTTTGTAATACATAATATAATAATAAATGCATTAAAATACATTATACTGCCTTATTAATGTATAAAACTGCGAAAAAGATGTGTTGAATTAGAAAAATAATATAATAAAAATTCATAGTTAGAAAAATAATATAAAAATAGATATATAAATACATTGTACTCGGAGTCTTTTAAAAATACAAAATGGTTTTTATGTAATTTATGCGATCATTTATAAGTTTAAAAAATTGCAGCAAATCTATTTTTCTTTCTCGTTGATTTTCAACAAAACAACTCTATCGCTATTTTCACACATATAAATGATACAGAAAATATATGTTCAATAGTACAATTACTTGGCCTAATATAGTAAAAATAGAATTTTTAACTATAGTGATAAGTTTGCATCAACTTTGATAAAATGCTGTCAATCACTTATTAAAGTTTTAATATACAGCATACAAATTATATTTTATTGAAAAATTTTGCAAAAATTTAATACATGCAATGTTTTCAAAAATGATCATCATGTGAATATTAATGTAATAAATGGATAGATAATAGTTAATAAAAATGTGTTAAAAATCATCATGATAAATGGAGGTTAATAGTTTACATCTAAGTGACAAAATTTTTGAAATATGAACTGATATAAATTTATTGGTAATTAATATTCTAGTAAAGAAAATTCTAAATTTGTGCTGTTCATGACTAAACTAAAACAGCATATAAAAGAGCACAAATAATGATAGATAAACACAGCATAGGGTCGTTACGACACAACAATGAAGCACCTTCTTCAGAAATGAAATGCAGATACTGACACTGAATTAGAAAAAAGTTAAGAAAATGGAAAATAAAAAGAGAACAAATAATGCCTCCAAACGAGGAGGAGGTTTAAAATTATAGAAGCTTCTTCAGAGTCGGAGCCTAGAAAATAATTAGTGAAGAAGGTGCTTCATTATCGAAACGAAACACTCGTATGTCTCCTTATGTGGCATTATTTCTTCTCTTTTCACGTTGTTGCAGCTATATTTAATTTGTAAAGCTTTCTTGAAATATATATAAAAAAAATAACTACTTAGAGTGATATATGTATACCAAAGTCCCTACTTTCAATTAATAAAGTTCTTTTGAAATGTGAGGAAAAGTAATTATTCAAAGTGATAGAAAAGCATATGTAGCTACATTCAATTAATATAGTTCTTCTGAAATGTAAAGAAAACTAACTATCGTTATGTGGGGCTACTTTGTGCAGTGGGGGCTACTTTGTGCAATTATGTTTTTTTCACGTTAAAAATGTGTGGAATTTGAAGATAGAAGTCTCCTCTATTACTACAAACACTTTTTTCGAATTTTAAAACAATCTCAGAGTGTGTTTTGTTTATCCAATGTCAACAACTTTCCGAGAACGTCGGACGTTGAAAAGTGTGAGTGGAAACTTTAGCTGTGAAATGCAAAGACGTTGATAAAACAATTGTCGTAAGCGCAAATTTTTTTATTTATATATTAATAAACAATTATATAATGTTGGCGTTAAAAAAAATTGAAAATTAATAACAAATAAACGGAAAATGAGAAAAAATGCACTGTGGGGCTACTTTGTGCAAATTTTCATTCGTTTTTTTTTCGACAGAAAAAAAAACCTGGAACGAGAAACTACCGTGATTACACTTTAGAAAAGCTGCAAAAATGTTTGCAAGCAGTTGCTGGTGGTATGTCTATTACAGAAGCTTCTCGGAAGTACAAAATCCACAGAAATACTATCTCTAATAAAATTCACAAGAAACACGTGAAACGTGCTGGTAAACTATTATTTTTCTTCTACAAAGATTTTTCTAATGAATTAATCAAACGATTTAACACATAAAAATATATTTTATAGGACATCAGGTGATTTTGACAGAAACTGAAGAGCAAGTTCTGTCATGTTCATTAAAGCATGTTATGTTCAAATTTATCAATATTATGAATATTAATGAATATGTAATAATTATTATTTTTTAAATTTCATCCATTTCAATGTTCAGAAATGTATATGGTTTCCTTTTGCTTAAACTCAAATGTTTTGAAATAAGCATTCTTTTTAAGAAAAAAATTCTTTATAAAAAATGTTTTTTTAACACTGAAAATTATTTTCTAACTAATATCTTTACATATCTTGATGTTTTTGTTTTTAAAAATGTCAACAATTAACTTTTTTAACTATTTTATATCAATATTTTACTAAAAACATGATTATTAAACTGAATTCCAATCACTGCACAAAGTAGCCCCACTTGGGGGCTACTTTGCGCAGATAAATTTTACTAAACTTTGAATTAACATAGTTTATGTAGGCAAAGTAGCCCCAAAGTACCCATTCAATTAGAGTTCTCTTGAAATATAAAGAAAATTAACTTCTTAACGAAATAGAAAAATATTTGTAACTACATTTCATTAGTATAGTGATCTTGAATCATCGAAAAATAACTTCTTAAAGTGATAAAAAAATATGTAGAACTACAACACATTCAATTAGAGTTCTCTTTAATTATATAGAAAATTAACTTCTTGAAGTGATAGAAAAATATATATTGTTTACACTTAATCAATCACCCATAAATTTTGAGATTAATTGTTGATTTTTAGTACCTTTTTACAATGAGCGGTACACCATATCCGGAGTCTTCTCTGACGAGCACCGTTTCGAGATCTACACCAAAGACTCCGTCCGGATGTGAGGCAGGCATCCTTTGGAAGGTCTGTGTAGGATTTTTGTACCTTAGTTTTAAGTAGAGTGTTCCTCTTGGTTCCAGTTTCAACGCCAAGCTATGCACAGGAGACTCACGGAGGAGAGCAGATAGATGAAGAATGCTCTTGTAGCACAACTTGTGTCGAAACCTGCAAAACCATTAGAAAATTAAAAGAGTGCTTTCTTCAAAGTTCTTCCGCCAAGAAATAAAAGTAAAAAAAAGTTCTTCACACTTGAAATAAAGCTGAAATTTTAAACTACATAAACCATTTTGGCGTAAAGAATTATTCGGTCTTTAGAGCAGAAAAATGACTAAATCTTTTTAAAAGTTATTAAGGATGTTTTTCGAAGTCTTCGTCATCATATGAAATGGTTCTTTTCTGCCTGAAATCTGCTATTTTTATAACTGCTGCGAATTAGCGTCTGTTACTCATGACTGTGAGGCCAATTTTAGCCTATCTAAAGTCAGCACTGTCTACGCTTATTTTGAAAATCATCTAGGGGGGAAAATGTCGCCAAATTGGCAATTTTTAAAAAAGTTTAAAAGCTTTTCAAATATTTAAATTATCCGTCTGTTCTAGAGCCCAGATAATTCTTTAATAGCAAGATTACATAAATAGTTTAAAATCATTGCATTGCTTTAAGTGTAAGACACTTAAACTATGATTTTTTTTATTTTCTTTGGCGACAGAGCTTTGAAAAACAGCTTTAAAAAATCGCCAATTTTGCGAGATTTTTCCACCTACAGAAAAATATACAAAATCTATGCTTAATTCTCCATTTTTGTAAATTTTTTAAACAAATATAGGATTTTTTTAAGCCCGGATTCTGAGTAACTTTTTAAATGTAAAAATGTAGATCACGAAAGCTATTTCTTCTTACATAACACTGGCTTTTCTTCGTATTAAAGTTTTGCACCATTTTCAGAATTGGCATAGAGTTCGCTGCTCAAAGATAGGCTGAAGTTGACTTAACATTCATTAATGACAATGAAATAAAATTCATGACGAAACTCACAGCAGTTTTGAAAATAGCATATTATTCATGTGACGACCGAGACTTCGAAAAACAGTACTTAACAGTAACAATCATGAAGATAATTTTTTAATTCACGGAAGAGAAAAAAGGAACACCTTGAATAACTTTTGATCTAAAGATCGGATCTTCATTTACTAAGACTCAATCATAAGGGTTCATAAAAGTAACTTCAAATACAATAATTAATTAGTTTAGACGATATTTTAAGTTATGAATTAAGAATAAAATGTTTTTTTTTTATCTGGACACCTTTTTTTGACGGCTTTGCATTTCTGACCCTTAAAAGACACCCTCAAAATGGTAGCTTCTATCTGGGAAATATGGTTCTAATAGTTTGGCCAGGAGAACGGTAGAATGTTTGGTCACTAAATGTTAAGGTCACTTTTACGTATTTCGGTATATCTCGATAATTTTCCAAGTGAAAGGAGAATGTTTCGCACACACATGCACAATTCGTTTATCCAAAGATAATTTCACGCAAAAAATAATTCATAATAAATACTTATCGAACAACAGTCGAACATTTCTGAGTTGTACACGGTATGTAAATTCTTGCATAATTTTAAAGAATGTAATTTTAAATGGCGAAATGCAAAATTTAAACGAAATTGGTCGAATAGTTTCGGTGAAATCAAATTTTAAATATATGAATTTTTTTGGTGAAAAAAAATAGATGTTTAACCATACCTGAGACATGATCGATTATAGAAAAATACAGTTATCTAAAACTCAGTAATCGATACCATGGAACGTTTTTGTTGTCTTACTCTTTTCGAGACGGGCGAGTCATATTTGTACGGAATCAGAATTGGAAAAAAATAAAAAGCGGAAGCTTCAGTTTAGGCACGCCAGATTTGACAGACATGAGTCTTTTTTTTTTAATATATTATCATTCATCTCAGGCTTTTAAAAGTGTAAGCATATAATTTTTAATTTGAAATACTCCCTGAGAATTCATGTTGACTCGACCGTCTCGAAGAGGTAAAGCTATATTCATGTTAGAATCAAAATATAATATAGTCCGTCCTCCGTAAGAAGACGATTGAAAAGAAAAATGCGGTACCGGTCCATTAGTTGAAGGATTACGTAGAAACGCGTTTGCGGAAATTCATCTTAGGAAAGGGAAAAAGTTTTCCAATGATGATTCTTCACAAAAATCTGACATCCCCTCGTAAAAGTGAACCATTCCAACTGTCAATCGTCTTCTTATGTTGGATGGAGTCTACAAACATTTCAAAATGAATGATATGAAAAAACTCACCTGGGATCCCATGTGTATAAGAGAAAGGCGACTTCTCTATTTTCTACAAGATCTATTTCGAAGATTTCGTCCCAGTCGAAGCTGTGTTCTCCCGTCCGGATGACAGTTCTCGCTTTGTGGGCCCTGTCACATTCTATGACGCAGTACAGGTCCCGAAAGTGGTCACCATGTGTTGTGGGCTTTAATCCCCGACCGGATAACAGATGAATCCATAGTAGGCCACTGTAGCCTTTAGGTGCTTGGGTCAGCTCTCGGGGTCCTAGCGTCACTGGGGTGATGGTCGGCCTCGGCCGATATTTGCTGTCAAATTATGAAAAATAAGTGTTAGCATTCTAGGTAACTCGTAAGCTTTGAATAATATTTTCTACAATCCACAAATGTAAGGTCCGGGATAACCTGGTAGATAGGGCACTGGGCCCATGTCCAAGAGATCGTGGGTTCGATCCCAGCCGGCCGAAGACCGTAAATGATGACTGATGCACGTTAAATCTGTCGAGTCTTATAGTACTCCATGTTCCCATAACAAATCAATGCTTCTGGGGGTACTGATCCAGTAATTTCGTTGTCTTCTGGATTCGTTCAAAATTACAAGGCTATGGAGTTGAACATTAGCAGTCGTAAACCCAAAATTGGGTCGGCTGTTCAACGACGGTTATAAAATAAAATCCACAAATCTAAAATGTTTAACTAATTGCTTAAGGAAGCCACAACTGGGAAAAATTTAAAAAGTGGCGGCGGAAGATTAAAGAAGCAAATTGCTTTTACTTATTCCTAATTATTTTTGCAAATTAAAGGAACAATATCAAGATGTTAAAAAAGACCAACATAATTCCGAGAATTAAAGTGAAAATTAAAAGCTTCGAAATTTCCAACAGTTTTATGAAACAGTTGTCGCCACTTTTTAATTCTTTTCTGGTTGAGGACTGTTAAATCTACTGTAGTCAAAAAGTTTAAAAGTAAGCAGCTGTAATAAAGACAAGCGGTTCCCATTTTTTTTCGGCTACTGAACCCTAAATAATCAAACTTCTTTCGGTGAGTCCCGACTTTATTAAGGTAAGGTAAGGTTTGTTAAGGTAATTGTTAACGTTATAACCTATATTATGACTTAATATAGGTTATAACTTAAATTAAGCTCAATGCCCTACAATTAAATTTGCAGATCTCGTGCTATATCTAGTCTAGTTATGAATCTGTTACGAATGACTAAAATAAGCCAAATTATAGTTTAAAACTAAAAAGAACTGTAATAAACGTTTAAAGGTTGAAAATGGTATTAGGTAAACATATTTCTTCATTAAAGAATTTAATTACTTTATTTTGATTTGTAAAGCGTGATGGGAAATACTAATGCAATATTTGACAAATATTTGTTCTTTTTTTCATAATTTTTTAATATATTGTTATTAGAAATATTATATTTTGTTTTAAAAAATGCCATTTTTATTTCATTGACATTTTAGAAATAATTTCATAAAAGCATCGTAAGATTATATGAATTGGAAATTTTAGTTTTTATCTGAAAATAATCAAACGTTTCAAAATTCATAACTGGTTATAAAAAGTTCTAACTCACGTAACCTCTTAAACGCTAACCAAGGAACTCTAGTACTCCGTGAAGCACCATTTGGGATATGGACTATACAGACTATATAGTGATATGGACTATGTCACAGCTGCTTACTTTTCAACTCTTTGTGTCAAATTATTTCCAGTTGTAGCAAATTCTCTCATTTAAATTTTCGGATGGGTTTAATAAAAGTGATTTTAAATTTATTTTTTTGCTGCAGCTAAAAATGTATAATCTCAACACAAATAGCAACGACTTACTAATCAATATTCTTAGTTTTATGTATTTATACATTTTTCGTGCAATACAAAATGTATTAAATAAGAAAGCTTGCTCCAGGCGATACATTCCACAAATTTATCCTTAATTTTTCAAAACTCTTGTAATATTTAAAAGCTTATAAAAACAAAGCTCGTTTAACAAATTTAGCTGCTAGCTCAATATCCAAAAAAAAAAAAAAAAAATTCTGTCGCAATATTTGCCGTCGCCCATCGTGACGTGGTCTCATAACAGGATTTTACTAAATTTAAGATTCTGGCATTACTGATGCTTGAATCAGATTTGGGTGGTACGGGTACTTTTTATTTACGTCACACCGGAGCTGCACAATGTATTATTGGAGACAATCTGGGATACATCCCTGAGGATGATTCGGAGACAACATACATACGTCAAGTCCCGTTTTACAGAATAAAATAATTCACGCATCATACATCTATCCAAAGGTAGTACTTGAAACAGAGCACTATCAATATTTGATCCAGTACCCACAGAGGTATTGATTTATGGGAACCTGAAGGACTTTGCGACCCCAACAGATTTAGCGTAAACCAGTCACCATTTCCATGGCGAGTCTTCGGCCTGTGGGGATCGAACTCATGAACTCTTTGACATGAGCCCAACGCCCAACCAGCCAAGCTATCTCAACCCAATCTTGGGTGTACTCTGAAGTTAAAGGTCCCACCCATTCACCACAACAGGTCTGAACACGTTGTGAGCAATAGGGGAATATATACACTGGTTATCATAAATTAAGGAAAATTCACAAAAANAATGCATAGCTTATATATATATATATATTGTGATTTTTGGGACACATATTTTGTATAAGCATTTTATGACTAGGAGCACATCACATGAACAGACACATGAAATAAAGAATAATTTCCATTCTCACTTGAATTCCCTAGGGTCCAAACTGACCAGGTGCAGGCGATCCTCCGAGGGCTTTATGGGAGTGGGGTGGGGGACGGATATCCTAGGGGCGTACGCCCCACCCGCTGGCAGTATATCGTCGCTACTCGGAGTATGGAGTCGCCGGGGAAACGTATAAATGTTACGGTATTCTTCCTGAAATTAAGAAAAAATAGGCAATTAACGCATGACTGAACACTCACAAAAAAGCTAAACATTTGCTGCAAATTATTTAATCACATGTATCATATTTGGGTGATTATGCATGATTTTAACTCAGTTACTGACACATGAAGAGATATAAGGGAAGAGTTTATTTACAACTCTTTTCTATTTATAGAAGCAAAATATTAATTAACGAGAGTTGTTAGCTGTAAGAAGATTATTTATTAATTGCCGTACAAGTTGCCTAGCTGCCTACTTTGTGAAGTCTTTTTCATCGACCGTGCAAGATGGCAGCTATGCAGTAGTAACTTCTTACTTTACTTACTTACTTTATTTAAAAACAACTGGACACCTGGGCCGCGCAGCGGCCCCTATCCCATTCATCATGAAATTACAACAATGAGTTAAAAACATTTTGAATATAAGCAGTCGTTGTGGTAGCTTTACAATAATATTACCATGATTAGAGAAAATACAAACTTGAACAGAGATATTTACAGTAATTGCCATAAATATGTACAGAAAATTGAATATGAGCATTAATAAATGATGATTATATATATACAAAAGTCGTGATTCATGGACGTGAAGATTTTACATAAATTTTGACATAGTAACTTCTAAAACTAAAGTACAATGATAATATGCCTTTTACTTATTGCTAAGTATTGGTAGTTTCAGTGAATATATATATTTTTTTCTGAGAAAATCTTAAAATAAAACGTTCTCACTACCAGTTTTTAATCTTTTCCTGATTAGTTGCAACCCTGTATTGCGAAAAATTTAATTTCAGCAAACAGTTAAAAAATTACGAGAGACTCAATCGAGATGCTGAAGTAAGATTTTTTTTTAAAATTCGGACTCATTGCTATGAACTGAAATCTTAGTGTTAATTTAATTTTAAAACATTTTTTATCAATATATTATTAAAATGTTTTTTAAAGCATTTCAAATGCCATTTTAGACACAAGATGGGAGAAAAAAGGATGATTTCATACAGAGGATCGACTTAAAGCATAAGTATTGTTTACTATTGGAAAAAAGATGAGTAAATGTTGAGAGTTGAGGTGGCTGATACCTGTCGCATGGTGTCCAACAGGGATTCAGCGCTGTGTGCGATTCTTCCCAGAGATGAAGCGGTGTGTTGACCTCTTTTCAATCTCTCGTATATGGCAGATGTGGATGGTGCCCGACTCATCCACGCCTTGTATTCGTTCGATGTGAACACACTCGGTGATCGGCGACTACCCTGAGGATGGGCTGCAAAAAAGAACAAAGATCTCTCAGTAAAGATTTTTCGAACCGATTCAAAACTTGAAAATGCCTAGAGGAATTATTATCTTTACCAAACTCCGGAGAATTCTTTGAAAAATAAAACACTGATACAAATATACACTGGTGCCAGAAATTAAGAGAATTTGAAGACTTGGTCGATTATCTCTAGAACTACTGGGTTGATTTTAATGAAATTTGTTATGTACATAGATTGATACAATACAAAAGAAATAACCATTCAACAATTATAATACGCATGCATGATGGTGCGTGACACTCGTTGGAGTCGGAAGGTATGAAACAGCGGTTGCAGAATAAACAAAAAATGGGTTAATAGGGGATATAGTCTCTTCTTACAGATATACAGGTCTTGCAGCTTGATTTCATACTTGAAATAAGGCAGTTTATCATTTCCTGTGGCAATTTCCTACCTTCTAACTCGAACGAGTGCTACGCGCGATCATGCGTGTGTATTACAATTGTTGAATGGCTATTTGTTTTGTATTGTATCAATGTGTGTAGATATCAAATTTCATTAAAATCGTTCCAGTAGTTCTAGAGATAATAGACCAAGCCAACAAATTCTCTTAATTTCTTACACCAGAGTAGTTAGGAGAAAAATCAGCAAATTTCTTATAATCATTATTCAAGTAAATGGGAAAAAATCAAAATCAATTTGGTACCTAAATATCATTATTTGGCATTACTGAACTGTTGTGGCAATTACGGACACAACACACGATTACGGTAACAATTTAGTTTCGTAAATCGCGAAACCTCGTTGTTGTCGTATGCTATTAAGTCAAAGAGGGTGGTTTTCCAGTGGTGCCATCCATGGCCAAGATTTCGACTACTGTCACACACATACATAACAACCAGAGTGTAAATCCCACTTTATACAATGTAGTTCAATTACATTTTAGGGATGCAAAATAGAAAACATTTCATGAAATTCCGAGTTGTTAAAAATTCAATGAATATTATATTGGCTATCAAATAAACAATAACAGACAGCTTGCAATTAGCGAAATCAGAACGTTTTCGCACCACTAATTCAGGTTATCGTTTTCGTTTACGTAATCAGTAGTATTAATTCTCTTCGCTCACGTGATCTCACCCCCATTATAAATAGAGAAGTTGAGAAATAATTTAAATCATCTATTTTCTTTAAATATTAAAATATCACTCACGTCGGGGTTAAAATTCTGTTTTCGTAGCAGAAATTACTTTTGTGCGTATCACAATGTACGTACGCAACAATCCGTAAAGTGCAGAATAGAACATTCAGTTGTATGCTTACTTCTCAACTACTACAGAACTTCCTTGTTCTCAGAAATTATTTTTCTTAGTGCTAGAAAAGGTAATGTTCTTTTATCTTTATTTAAAATAAATTGGGTGCTTGGGCCGCGCAGCGGCCTTTAGCCCATACATCATGAAATAATTTACAGTGTATTAAAACATTTTGTGTTATGCTACATTATGGTGGCATATAAGAGAAAAGGTAATGCATAGCTGTCAGCTTGTACTACCATTGAGAAGTAATTTTCTTAGTGATAGCAACACTAGCGTTTGGGCGTATTGAAATTGAAGTTTACAGTTTCAAAAATGTGTTTTAAACTACCACGACGAATCAATAATTAAAAAAAAGAATCTGTAGATAAGATCTATTTGTTGGCTAATTATGCTTATAGAGTTATGCCCAATAGTTTTGTTGTTAGAAAATTCCATCAAAATTTACTACCACTTCGTAATATCTTTTTTGGCGACCGTGCAAGTTGGAAGATATGGTAATGTATATATAAATAATGTATTTAATTTAAATGTATAATATGTCTATAAAAGGTAATTTAACCCTTTAGTGGGCCATTTATTTCTAGTAAAGGTAAAATAAAGAATATTTGGAATTGAAATCCATGTAAGAATAGTAATTGATATAAGAAAAGAAAAACTCATTTAGCTTATAAAAAATTTGTTTAAATTTTAATGCCATTTTTTTGGTGGTAAGTATATTTACCACGACCTATTAGGAACTTATTGACTTTTATTTTTCTTTATTTATAAAATAAAATTTATCTATGCTACAAACTTCAGAAGGAATAATGCCTTTTATAACTTTTATACTTTTTCTTATACTAAAGAATGGTAGACAATTTCGTGCAAACGTACTTCAAGAAAGCTGAAGTTAATAACAGATGGAAACCTAAATTAAAAATGGTTGAAAAGTTAACGAGGACTTTAAAAATTGGTGGTGACTACGACTTTAGAAAGGGTTAAAGGAATCTTTATATAAATTAAAAGCAAAAGAATTTTTTCACCACTACTCAAATTAAACAGATACAGGGATGGAAAAAAATAGGGAAAACTTATTAGTGAAAGTGTGTTATGATCAAACGTACACCTTTTTAGTACAGTGAATCAAACAATGAAACTGATTACGTGAAGAACAAGAATGCAAAGAAGACAACAAATGAATTAGTACTAAATTAAATAGTACTAAACTGAAATGAAATAGTACTAAACTGAAATGAATTAGTACTACACTGAAATGAATTAGCACTAAACTGAAATGAATTAGTACTAAACTGAAATGAATTACTACTAAACTGAAATGAATTAGTACTAAACTGAAATGAATTAGNAATTTTTTGTTTTGCGGACCATTTGGCGCCCCTTTGTGAGTAGCGCCCGGGGCATGATGACCCCCCTTGCCCACCCCTCACTACGCCACTGGCGCTTGGTACCAGATGCCTCAGACTACCTATCAGCACCTTGTGGAATCAATGCCACGGCGGGTGCTAGCAGTTTTGAAGGCTAAAGGTGGTCCTACTTGTTATTAGTAGGGTGATCATAATGTAATGGCTCTTCGGTGAACACTGTTGTAAGAAATTAAAAGAATTTGAATACTTGGTCGATTATCTCTAGAACTACTGGAACCGATTTTAATGAAATTTGATTTGCACATATATTGATACAATGCAAGCAACCATTCAACAATTATACTACACATGAATGATGGTGCTTAACACTCGTTGGAGTCGGAAGGCATGAAACAGCTGTTGCAGAATAAACAACAACAAAATAGGCTAATAGGGGGTTTCATCCCCTCTTGCAGGTCTTGCAGCTTGATTTCATGCTTGAAATAAGGCAGTTTATTATTTCCTGTGGCAATTTCGTACCTTCCGACTCCAACGCACGATAATGCGTGTGTATTACAAATGTTGAATAGTTATTTATCCATGTATGTACACATCAAATTTCATTAAAATGCATCCGGTAGTAGAGATAATCGGTCAAGTCTGCATATTCTCTTAATTTCTTACTCCAGTGTAGTTAGGGGGGGGGGAAAGTAACAAATTTCTTTGAATCATTATTCAAGTAAATAGAAAAAATTCAAAATCTGCAATTTCGTCCCTAAATATAATTATTAGGCATTACGAAACTGTTGTGGCAATTACGGACATGCCACATGCTTACGGTACCAATTTAGTTTTGTAAATCGTGAAACCTCGTTGGTGACGTATGCTATTAAGGCAAAGGGGGCGGTTTTCCAGTGGCGCCATCTATGGTCAAGAATTCCACTTCTGTCACACACATACGTAACAACCCGAGTGCAAATCCTACTTTATACAATGCAGTTCTACTACGTTTTATGAACAACAAAACTTTTAGAAAACATTACATGAAATTCAGAATTGTTAAAAATTAACACCTTTAACTAAAGAAGCCTCAATGAATATTGTATTAACTATCAAACAAACAATAACAGACAGCTTGCAATTAACAAAATCAGAACGTTTTCGCACTACTAATTCAGGTTATTATTTTCACTTATATAATCAGCAGTCATAATTAAATCTCCAAGCTCATGTGCTCTCACCCCCATTATAAATAGAGAAGCTGGGGAATAATTTAAATCAAAAACCTACTTTCTTTGAATATTAAAGAATCACTCACGTCGGTGTTAAAATTCTGTTTTCGTAGTAGAAATATATCACAATGTATGTAGTATCACAATATATGTATCACAATGCATGCAGCTGTATGATTACTTTTCAACTACTACAGAACTTCCGTACTCTCAGAAAATATTTTTCTTAGTGTTAGAAAAGGTAATGCATGGCTGTCAGCTTGTACTACCATTGAGAAATAATTTTCTTAGTGGTAGCAACATTAGCGTTTTGGCGTACTAAATCTTGAAGTTTGCAGTTTGAAAAATGTGTTTTAAACTACCACGACGAATCAATAATTTTAAAAAAATATGTAGATGAGATCTATTTGTTGGCTAATTATGCTTATAGATCTCCTAATAGTTTTGTTTTTAGAAAATTCCTGCAAAATTTGCTACCATTTTGTAATATCTTTTTCGACGACCGTGCAAGTTGGAAGGTATGTATAAATTAATGTATAAATTAATAATGTATGATGTAAATGGTAATGTTAATTAATAATGTATGGTGTAATGGTATGTAAATGGTAATGTATAAATTAATAATGTATTTAATTTAAATGCATAATATATCTATAAAAGGTAGTTTAGCCCTTTAGTGGGCCATTTATTTCTAGTAAAGTTAAAATAAAGAATATTTGGAATTGAAATCCATGTAAGAATAGTAATTGATATAAGAAAACAAAAACTCATTTGGCTCATGAAAAGTTAATTTAAATTTTAATGCCACTTTTTTTCTGATAGTAAATATATTTACCACGACCTAATAGGAACTTATTGACTTTTATTTTTCTTTATTTATAAAATAAATTTTATCTTTGCTACAAACTTCAGAAGGAATTATGCCTTTTATAACTTTCATACTTTTTGTTATACTAAAAAATGGTTGACAATTTCACTCAAACGCACTTCAAGAAAGCTGAAATTAATAACAGATGGAAACCTAAATTAAAAGTGGTTGAAAAGTTAACGAGGACTTTAAAAATTGGTGGTGACTACGGCTTTAGAAAGGGTTAAAGGAATATTTATATAAATTAAAAGCCAAAGAGTTTTTTCACCACTACTCGAATTAAAGAGATACAGGGATGGAAAAAATAGGGAAAATTTTATAGTGAAAGTGTGTTTTGATCAGACATACAGCTTTTTAGTACGGTGAATCAAACAATGAAAATGATTACGTGAAGAACAAGAATGCAAAGAAGACAACAAATGAATTAGTACTAAATGAAATAGTACTAAACTGAAATGAATTAGTACTAAACTGAAATGAATCAGCACTAAACTGAAATGAATTAGTACTGAACTGAAATGAATTAGCACTAAACTGAAATGAATTACGTAGTACTAAACTGAAATGAATTACTACTAAACTGAAATGAATTAGTACTAAACTGAAGTGAATTAGCACTAAACTTACGCCTCCTCATCGATCTCGTGGCTGGAAGCTCTGGCGCAGAGACGGCCCCGTCACTCTCCTCTTGGGAATCGTAAGGCAGGGATGTGGTGAAACGGACAGCCTGATGCCGGCTGTATCCGCTCCTCATGGATCGTGGCAGTGAATTGCTACGGCCCCCATAGTGACTATAAGTGCGCCGGGAGCCACCCATTGTCCAATAATCTTGAGCCTCTGTATCCGAAGCACTCTCAACGCCGCCACCCATTCGATCGCGACCAGCACCGCGACGTCGAAGGATGCCACCGCTCCTGGGTGGCTCTTCGTACCTACGCACTCTACCACGATGCTGCATGGTAGGAGACACATGAAAATTTCTTCTAGGAGGCATTCGATAGTCACTCTCAGTTCTTAACATGCCAGTGGAACGGCGCAGAGGCGTCGTTGCCTCAATGTCATAACCGCCCCTGCTAGGTGGCACCATACTTCGAGTCCTACGATGGTGCGGCTCGTACCGTTCTCGAGGTGGGGGTGCTCGTTCTTCGGGGTAGAACGAGTGCACCCTTTCGGCTAACCGCTCCAGGCTGTCTGGGGGCTTGTAAGTAGTTACTTTGGTGGGTTGCTCCGTGACGACTGGTGATGGCACCACCCATCTCGGAGACACAGGCAGTGGTTCCTCTCTTCTTCTGTTGGCAGTGTACTGTTGGTGACTAGGAGGAGCGTGGTGGTAGGGATGATGGTGATGGGGTATTTTGGGAGGGCGGTGGTGAAGGCTGCTGGTGGAAGGTTGGGAATTGTAGTAGAGGTCGTCAGGGGGATGCTGCTGCTTTGGCTGCTCGTACCGGTGGCGTTCCCTTATGTGATCTTTTTCACTCAACTTGACCGCGATTGCTGGTACTTCGGGTGGAAGACCTTTGGTCCGGGCACGGATCAAGACTCCGTTTTCACTATTCTCTCCATTCGATAGCTCTTCAGTTGTGTCCTAGAAAAAAAAGCTCAATGAGTAATGCTTTTATAAAGTTGTAGCAAAATAGAGCAGCAACCTAGATGAAACACCAGCAACCAAACTAAATGCAAGTATTTTTACTGCAGCAATTATTTAAATGGTTAAATGCTGCTAGCTAGTGTGTAACAAATAGTAAGTTACAGTTACTTCTTGAGGATTTCTTGATGAAATACTTATAACTACATTTAAATGCTAGTTTTTTTATACAGTTACAAATATTTGGAAAAAAAAGCTCAATGAGTAATGCTTTTAACTAGCATATAAAGTAATAGCAAAATGGAGCAGCAACCTAGATGAAACACCAACAACCAAACTAAATGCAAGTATTTTTACTGCAACAATTACTTAAATGGTTAAATGCTGTTAGCTAGTGTGTAACAAATAGTAAGTTACAGTTACTTCTTGAGGATTTCTTGATGAAATAGTGCTACGCGCGNTAAAAATATGTTCGCAAGCAATAGTATCATCTTTCGGGCAATAATGTCCTTACAAATATGTTCGCAGGCAATAATGTCATTAAAAATCTGTTCGCAGGCAATAATATCATCATTTTGACAATAATGTCCTAAAAAATATGTTCAGAGGCAATGATATCTTTCTGGTAATAACGTAATTAAAAATATGTTCGCAAGCAATAATATCATCATTCCGGCAAAAATATCCTTAAAAATATGGTCACAGGCAATAATATCTTTAAAAATATGTTCGCAAGCAATAGTATCATCTTTCGGGCAATAATGTCCTTACAAATATGTTCGCAGGCAATAATGTCATTAAAAATCTGTTCGCAGGCAATAATATCATCATTTTGACAATAATGTCCTAAAAAATATGTTCAGAGGCAATGATATCTTTCTGGTAATAACGTAATTAAAAATATGTTCGCAAGCAATAATATCATCATTCCGGCAAAAATATCCTTAAAAATATGGTCACAGGCAATAATATCTTTAAAAATATGTTCGCAAGCAATAGTATCATCTTTCGGGCAATAATGTCCTTACAAATATGTTCGCAGGCAATAATGTCATTAAAAATCTGTTCGCAGGCAATAATATCATCATTTTGACAATAATGTCCTAAAAAATATGTTCAGAGGCAATGATATCTTTCTGGTAATAACGTAATTAAAAATATGTTCGCAAGCAATAATATCATCATTCCGGCAAAAATATCCTTAAAAATATGGTCACAGGCAATAATATCTTTAAAAATATGTTCGCAAGCAATAGTATCATCTTTCGGGCAATAATGTCCTTACAAATATGTTCGCAGGCAATAATGTCATTAAAAATCTGTTCGCAGGCAATAATATCATCATTTTGACAATAATGTCCTAAAAAATATGTTCAGAGGCAATGATATCTTTCTGGTAATAACGTAATTAAAAATATGTTCGCAAGCAATAATATCATCATTCCGGCAAAAATATCCTTAAAAATATGGTCACAGGCAATAATATCTTTAAAAATATGTTCGCAAGCAATAGTATCATCTTTCGGGCAATAATGTCCTTACAAATATGTTCGCAGGCAATAATGTCATTAAGAATCTGTTCGCAGGCAATAATATCATCTTTCTGGCAATAATAATGTAAAAAATATGTTCGCAAGCAATAGTATCATCTTTCTGGCAATAATGTCCTTACAAATATGTTCGCAGGCAATAATATCTTTCTGGCAATGATGTCATTAAAAATCTGCTCGCAGGCAATAATATCATCTTTCTGTCAATAATATTTTTACAAATATGTTCGCAAGCAATGATATCATCATTCTGGAAATAATATCCTTACAAATATGTTCTCAGGCAATAATATCTTTCTGTCAATAATGTCATTAAAAATATGTCAGCAGGCAATAACATCATCTTTCCGGGGATAATATTTTTTAAAATATGTCCGCAAGTAATAATATCTTTCCGGAAATAATGTTCTTAAAAATATGGTAATAGGCAATAATATCAACTTTCTGGCAATAATGTCCATAAAAATATGTTAGCAAGAAATAATATCATCTTTCTGGCAATAACATCATTATAAAAAAAGTAGTTACCACCATTTTTAGTATTGAGATAAATTAAAATTTTCTGCACTGCATGAAGTCACGTATTTTATTTACTTTTTCACTGTGGTAGTTCTTTTTATTTATTCACTCATTTTTTTGTGTGTGTTTATTGACAACACATATTTTTATACGCATTTGCATAAATTTAATAGCTTCATTGCAAAAACATTTTGTTTAGAAAACAAGCCCATTTTCTGCAGTAGATTCGCTCTAATATTTTGCAACAATTGTTATTTTGTCAACATCATGCATTTTTTTCGAGATAACAAGAGTTGGATACTTAAAAATATATTTGTAACAGTTTTATATTTTAGTACAAATAAATTTTTAAATACCGAACTGTAGTTATTGTGCAAGAAATTATGCAAAGTTGGTATGATTTCGAATATTTGAAAGAATTACTGCAGAAATATTATTAGAAAACATATTACTAAAAGCATGCTTGCTTTTAGATAAAATGTTTTTACAATGAAGCTATTAAATTGATTCTAATATGTATGAAATATGTATAATCAATACAAAAACATACAAAAATGAATGAATAAATAAATAAATATAAGAATGAAAAATTAAATTTAAAAAAATGTAATTACATACACTGTAAAAAATGTTAGTTCATTCCTCCATCAAAAATGGTGGCAACTACATTTTAACGGTGTACCACATTGGTCCCCCACTCCTACGACTACGTTACTCTACTTGACGTTATCAGCAATCGGGAACGTTCGAACCAACGTACGACAACTAATTATAGTTTGAATACATTTCAATGAAAATGGAATAAAGAAAGGTTCAATGATGTCTTTAGATTATGCTACAAGCCAAACAAAGTCAATACTTCGCCACTTTGTGATTAGTTCCTCTAATTGGACACTTTATGCTTATAGTTCTGCGCCGATATTGTTATGTTTCTATGCAGCTTATTTCTATAAGTTGCTTCATGAAATATTCTCCCATTATTAATACTGATGTGATAGTATTTAGCGAAGGCGAAGTACAGAACTTTCAGCTAACTGGGCAACACAGTAATTAGTTATGTCTCTTGGCTAAAGGTGATCATTTAGTCACGATAGACTAGTTTGTTTTACGAAACATTCAGTCGCGTATAGATGATATTAGGAACAGAGGCACTATGGAAATTATTCCTCTAGCTTTGCAGTTGGAGGTTTGTCCAATGGGTCGGGCTGTGTTGGCCCACTCTGGTGCGGGGACTCCCGGTTTAGCTGCGTCGCCTGAGCTTTCAACGCTTTCACAGGCTTCTTCTGCCATCACCTTCTACACCAGAAAGCCTCCACACAGTTTCCTATAAGTAGTCTGCGCTGATTAATTAAAAACCGAACCACTAGTGCGCATGAACCCAAATTCTTTTTTAAAAGTACTTGAGAGAAATTTATCATATATATTTGAGAATTGAATCTGTGGTGGTTGACAAGTAAGTAAAACAAACTAAATATATTCAGAAATTAAACAAATTTTCAGACATATCTTTCTAATTTTTAATGGATTTCATATTAAATGGTTATTTAACTAATTGGTTTACTTTCATAGCGGTCTGATCGGACTACCTGCAAAAAACCGTGTGGAGGCTTTCAGTTATAGGAGGCGTTGCTTCTGTTCATCGACAAAAGCCTGCTGCTCAACTCATGCGTAACTCGAAGCCTTGTGCCAATGAGTCTGCATTGCTTCGTGACTTGGTGGTGTACGACGGCTGTTGTAGCGGTGGATCTTCAAAACTTGAATGATCTAGAACGCATTATGAATGTTTTCGGCAACGTTTCTTGAGTTGCGTATACAATAAACTACAATGACGTCACATAATGTTGAAGCGTTATTTTTTTAAGTGAAATTTTTTATGACTTTAACAAGTGGTTGCCTTCTCTATGGTTAAAGTTAACATTTAATTAACTATGTTAAGTAAACTATGTTAATTAACTATGTCAAGTACTCACCTTCCCTGATGTAGAGACCAAGGGTCTGTCCAGGCCTTTTGATGATCTCAACAAAGCGGACAACATGCGTTGCATCAGCCGCGCTCAGGTACTTCCTGTAGGTGTCAGCACCGACGCGGCCCAGACTGACTGGATCAAACATGCGTATGAGCATCTCTCCACCTCTGTTTTCCACCGCATCCACGTGGGCTGCCGTTGCCGCATCAAAATCATTCTCAACAGCCTCGAGTTGACGAAAGATCTCGGAGCTAATGCCGCTAACCTTCCTGAAGTCACGCTGCACAACGATGCCGTGCGGGGGTTGGGGAGGTCGAAGACGTACGCGTCGCACGACGCCCCCCTCCTCTGTCAAGGCTTCGACGGTGTCCACTCCTCTGGCGTCCTGAAAAAAATTATGCTATATTTAAGAAATATTGATATGTTAGGGTGTTTACATATTGTCAAATTGTATTGCATCCAGAAAACTCAGGAGCTCTCAGGAAAACCTGAAAGCTCTCTTGTCTTCTGAGTTGAAGTAAAAATTATAAAACTTCAGAACTAAACAATAATAACACTGACAATGAAAAATTTTGTAACAAAGTGAGTCAAATATAACCAGTCCCAATAATGGTAGTAGGGTAGGTATTATTTACGTCACATTAGAGCTACACAGTGGGCTATTGGCGACTGTCTGGGAAACATCCCTGAGGATAGGATGATCCGAAGACATGCCACCACAATTTTGATCCTCTGCAGAGGCGATGGCTTCCCTGCTGTGGAAGCCCGACGACCTGCTCGCGAAGTTGAACACGTTGCGTTAGAACAGTTTAACGAGGGCCGATACTACACACCCTCGGTCCCTACGCTGGCTGATCAAAGTGGTCACCCACCCGCTTACTGACCACAGCCAGTTATGCTTGACTTCGGTGTTCTGCTGGGAACCGTGTCTTTACGAACAGTGCACTGCGGGACAACTGGTCCCAAGAAAAGAAACTAAATAATTCACTTTGTGAGGTTAAAAGTGATTCGAATTATATAAGCGTGACAGTGATCTGAGCGTTAATAATGCTCCAAACAATTAAATTCTCTCTATATCATTGTCATGTTTTTGATTATTACTTTGTATCACACATAAATATTAATTAAGCTAACTAATTAAGTATTTAGCGGGGATCATTTTGTTACTCCTAATAAAGGAAGAAATCATGCGTATTTTAAACTTTTCTGATTCATTTCTACGAGAGCTTAGAGCTGTGTAAATTTTTATTGGAAAATTAGATTTGCAATGTTTACAACGGTTGTATACAAAGCGAATGGTTAAATGATTTAGAATAATTTACTTGGAAGTTGAATTTCACTGAATTTAAATGTTGAGAAATTTTTGCAAATTAAAATTTGGCGAGTTTTTTTCTGAATGAAATTTGTATAATTTTGTCCGATTTTGATAGATTATTTAGAGAAACTGTCAATAGTTAATTAAGTGAATATTACTTACCTTTCGCTTCCCGCAGCAAAGCATAGTGGAAAAAAGAATGTGCTTCACTTTACGTCGGAGCCGCGGTCTGTTAGCAAACGAGTTCATGTGGGACCACCTCAACTGCGATGCCTCTTTCACACAGATAGACACCTATAAAGTATAAGAACATCTTTCTATTACACACTTTTTTTCACATTTAATACTGTTGTTGCTGTTTCTAATGCCACTTGCCAATACCAGCATTATTGCCAATATCAGCGTAAACAATTAAAAAATAAATCTTTCAGAATTTTCGGTAATATTGCCAAATTTTAAAATTATCCAATCAAGATAACTAGAACAAAGTGGCGTTTCATATAAGCTTTTGAATCATTTGCATTTAGTAGTATGGAAAATATCTTTAAATCAAAAGTACAAAACAAAGAATAATATATTATAACATAAACTTAGCTACCATTAGAAAAAAATTTCAAAACAACGTACAAAGTTGCAGCCTTGAGATAAATGTAAGACAGCTCTGTACACCAGACTATATTAAAAACATAAACACTTATATCTTGATCTGAAGTTATTTCAAGCTATTACCATAAACACAGAGATGCCAGCCTGCTCCGGACAACAAATATATATTTTAAAGTGGTAGGTTATCAATTGTGATTCTTGGTTTAATAAATTCAATTTAGTAGATTTGTATCCTTCACTATTTTTAAATAATTCGTAGACTTATATAATTCACCACTTTATAGTGCTTACGTCATGCTATAGCTTTTAAAAAGCAAGCAAAACTAGTCAAATGTTTGCCAAAATTTACTTAGTAGTTATTTACCGTTTTTTTAATTGTTTTGGCGTGTCCGGAGCAGTTGGCATCTCTGTAGACAAACTAGGCACTCTGCACATGAGAAGCCCGGCTACCGGGGGGAGGCGAGGGAGTGCATAGGGAGTCTTCCCCACTTGTAAAATAATTGTAAATATTTTTCTCTTTTCATTTTACTTTTAATATTATTCTAATTTTTTGTGTATCCCAATGCGATTTAACATGTAAAAACTTATCCCAAATTTTATTTTAATTGTAAAATGGTTCCAATTGAGACATAACTTAGTTAACCCCCACAACACCCATCCCATCATCCTTATAAATATAACTTTAGCTGAAGGAGCAGATATCCCCCCAGGATAGGTACTCCGATAAAACAGCATCAGTTAGTCAGTCAGTTTCAAGCTATGTTTGAAACAGCCTACTTGTTCTGCTTTTCGGGGACAAAAAAATTTTAGCGGTAGAAAATTTATGTTTTTATGTATGCAGGGATGCCTTAGACTACCAAAAACGTAAGAAGTGATCGACACTAAATTCATCTCTATTTATTCCATTATTCAATCCTAACTACCACAATTACTTTAGCATGCCACAGAGATAACAGTTCCAATCTCGACAAAATATTTTAAAAAACGGTAGAGAACGACAAACTAAGATTTTCGGTTAATTTTGACAGCTTTAAAAAAGGCTCAACACAGCTTAACTGCAGGTATGCCACAGGAGACTGAAAATATTTTAAAAAAATGGTAGAAACTAATTTCTTTTTATTTATTTAATATCTCTTTAATTATTGAATTGCAACTACCACCAGAACTTACATTTCACGTTATTCATATATAAAGCAAAATCTTTTTCTTGCATTCACTTTAAAAAATAAAGTAAAAAATATGCTATGAGAAGTTTGTTTATAGTTTTAATAAAACTTAGAATTTCATTGGACGTCACTTTATAAATTTTCAGTCGCCCGGTGACAACACTGTAAATTTAACAAGGTAGAGTATCACATAAGTCTTCGAATTATTTAGAATTAGTGGGGAGTAAAAACTTTATAAATCGATTTTTTAAGCCAAGAATCAGACATTAAGAGACTATCACTCGAAAATATTTTTCCGATGTCCGGAGCAAGTTTGCATTTCAGATGTTATTCGTATTTAAAGCAAAATTATTGGTTGCATTTTCCTTTCAACAGTAAACTGAAAAAAAAATATGCCAGAAAAAAAGGGGCTAATTTTAGTGTCTTTTAACCCCTTGGGGACGGGTGATTCAGAAAAGCATTCGTGCAAAATCAGAATCAAGTTGTAATTAAATAAAAAACGGTAACTTAAATGTAGTCGTTGCTGATTTGACAGACTTACTTTGCTTTTACTTTAATTATTGTTAGTTTAAACATATATATAATCAATGTTAATTCAAAGTATAACTAAATAGTTTTATTTTGAACAAAGTAATGGTGAATTAAATAAATCAAACAATTATAACTCCGCCCACAAATAAACTGCTAAAGAAATACTTTGATTACCAGTTTTATATTTTTACCCTGATTGATACGGTCTTATGCTGTCACGTATTTGTGACAGTCGGCGCGAAAGGGTTAATAGAATTTTGCTACTTATTAATCACCACTTTTAGCATTTTTAGTCACATGTGGCAGCTATGTATGATTATTGGCTCGGCTTAAAATAAGGTCGCTGTTGTTATTCACTTTGTAACTATATATTAAAATTTTAATAATTTTTGTAAAATATCACGATCTTTTTTACACTTTTGTAAGGCATATTGCGTCTACCATATAAAATTAAAATATAACTAAAATTTTTTTTTTTATATATTTAAGAAATTATTAAAAAAAGTTTATAACCACGTCTGCAGGGGAGTACCGGAAGTTGGCTTGATAATCTCAGCTTCAGGACCTTCATCTTCGTATCAACAACTTTGACTTTAATGAATTGGCTAGAGTACGTGGCAACATGTTGCCACGTGCAAGATGAAATTGGAAAATTTATATAACTCAAGAAATAGTGACAGATACTAACAGCGAACTTCTCACAGGAAATTGATTGAAATGAAATGTTCCTACTTTGAGTATTTTGTCTTTTCCCGAAACTTTGCAGACTAGATTTCACTTTATAATATTTGCAGACAGACGTTGTTTAACTATTTGGCTCTTATTTTTATGACAGCTATTTTTAAAAGTTCTAGTAAATTCAGAGAGAATTTCCACGCTTGAAATAGAAATTTCATTTTATATGAAGCGAATCAAAAGAATAAAGAAAAGTGAAAGTTGTAGTTTATAAATAAATAAATGGTGAAATGCAATAAAGATCACAAAAACTGGGCCAAAATGTTTTGACGCATATTTTTTAACAATCTGATCTAGATTTGGAATTCATTCAAAGTGTTGTAATGATGTTTTTGGAACAAACTCTGTGGTCTAAATTGCAGAGTATGGCAACATACCAAAATACTCTATTGCTGACAGCCTTAAGTCAGAATAAGTTTTTGAATTTTATTGATCGTTTTATCTTAATGTTTTATTCTCAAACAGTGAGAGTTTTGACAAAAAATATTATAAAGTGCATTATACTATATATTTATGAAATAAATTATGTGTGCACTCATTGTTGTAATACGTTATTAAATTAGAATCTGTTAAATTAGAAATGTTTGCTTTAAACGTAAACTAAAGTACAAGAAACCAATGATATCTTTCGAGAAGTTGTTGTGAAAAATACATACACCTCAAATTTTTATGTGTGTTATAAAGTAATAACAGTGGTAATAATAACCGAAATTACTATCAGCAACTTCATATTGGCAGTGATATCTTTTTTAAGATATCCCTTTAGCATTTAGAGATCAAACATCTTAAAGTGCATCTTAAGGAGCCGAGAGGGCAAAGGAGATAGAGCGTTTGCCTTCCAATAAAGGTAACCGGGTTTGAATCCCAGCAATGGCAGGTCGATACGAATTCCGCATCCGGCTTGCACCGACCACAATGCTAATGCACAATATCCTAATTGGTAGACGGATCATGGGTTAGAATCCCTTTGCCGTCAGGCTAACCTTTGGAAGTTTTCATGGTTTCCCTCTCCATTTAACGCGAATATGGATTAGTTTTGTCAAAAACTCCTCTACGACGGCACATTACTCGGAAAACTGGATATCGAAGTTCCCTTGTCTTCTGGCTTGGGTTCAAAAATACAAGACTATGGAGTTGAACATTAGCAGACGCAAATCCAAAAAATTGGGCCGGTTGTTCAATGACGGCTATAAAATAAAAAATAAAATATCATGTTTGGAATGAAAACTAATAAATCTTGCTCTTTTTAAATCCTAGACACTTTGTATACGATCCTTAAAAGTAAGAAATCTTTAATAATAAAAAAAACTGACTTTGAAAATCATATTTTTCTCAGAAAAAAAAATCTCAATGCAACACTAATTGAATGCTTGAATCATAGGTGTTTTTTAGCTGGAATAAAATAAATTGCGTATTGAAACTGATGTGAGAAGTGTAAGGACTATTTACCCTTTAGCGCCGACTGTCACAAATACGTGCCAGCATAAAACCGTATCAATCAGGATAAAAAGATAAAACTTATAATCAAAGTAATTCTTTTGCAGTTTATTTGTGGGCGGAGTTATGATTGTTTGATTTATTTAATTCACCATTACTTTGTTCAAAATAAAACTACTTAGTTATACTTTGAATTAACATTGATTATGTATATGATAAAGCTAACAATAATTAAAGTAAAAGCAAAGTAAGTCTGTCAAATTAGCAACGACTACATTTAAGTTACCGTTTTTTATTTAATTACAACTTGATTCTGATTTTGTACGAATGCTTTTCTGAATCAGTTCGCGAAAATGAAAAGAATTGTTCATTAAAATTGATGTTATCAAATACTTTACCTAAAGCGGATTCAGTATCCTTGATCGAGCATTGATATGGATTTATGTCAGGCATCATCGAATAAATCGAATCTATATAAAAAATAATGTTTTCCAATAAAAGAAGGTTTCGAAGCAACACTTGCTCAACTCTTGAATCATAGAGGTTGGTTATCAGCATATATGGCAGTACTTTTACTTTCGCTACTTGTACCGCCGGTACAAGTAGAAAGTACGTACTTTTACTTGTACTTCGTTACTTTTTAAATTTAGTACTTTTACTTGTACTTTCGTTACTTTTTTAGAGAAAAAGTACAAGTATTTGTAACGGAAATATCGAATGAAATCGTTACTTTTTTCTAAAACTCGGTAAGCTTTCTNTTTAACCCCTTGGGGACGGGTGATTCAGAAAAGCATTCGTACAAAATCAGAATCAAGTTGC